CAAATTCCACTCTAGAAAAGTCATGCTAGTTTAGACTTTCATAATTGTGTTTGTATTATCACAAACTAAGCATTTTGCATGAATATTGACTATCATAAAACAATCTTTCTGGCTGTTAACAGAATCCCAAAATTATACAGAGGAAAATTCAAGTCTGTCTGGCTTGACATTTTTACAGGGAAGACTGAAGTTCAGATCATTAAAATAAAAGTAGTAGTTGAGTGGTGCAGCACTTACTTGGCAAGTGAGAAGTCCTGAGTTCAGTTCCTGGTACCAAAGAAGGAAAAAAATGTAGTCAGGTAGATTAGAAGTTTAGTTTTCTAGACTTTGGTTCAGTGTTGTTTTCACCGGAGAATACTACTTTATTATTTATTGAATATCTGAACATGGCTAGGTGTTATGCTGGGCACTTAGACTTTTATTAAAAATTTAATCTTATTGGGCAGAGTGATGCATTCCTGTTGTCCTAGTACTGTGGAAGCTGAGGCTGGAGCAACCCAGGTTTGAGGTTAGCCTGGGCTACCTAGTGAGTCCCTGTGTCAAAAAACCAAAACTTTAAAAACCCAAGCCAAACCAAAACCCCAAACAAAATAAAGGAAACAACCCCTTAATCTTTCTAGTAATCTATGTTGAGTGACTTAAAACTGCTTTATTATTTATTGGGAGGAAGGCTGAGAAATTTCAGTGGTGTGAAAAGTAGATACATTTTTGTACCTTGTTCTGAGGATAGGTTGAGGAAAATAGGTGGGATTCACAGGAAGTATTTTGGCTTCATAAAAGGAAGAACTTTCCTGAAAAGCACAATATTGCTATTCAGTAAAGAAAAAGGGGATCATATTAACAGTGTTGAATTTTGGAAGTATATATGTAAGCCTCCTCTGTGTATTTGTTAGGAATGTGGAAAATGGGAGTCCTTGTATTGTAAAGAGAGAGGATGAGTTGGCTAAATGTAATATATTGTAAGGTGTCTGGCATGTAGTTCAGTGTTCGGTAATTGCAGCTATAATAGTAATTAGATAGAAAGATAGTATGAAATTTATGAAGCTAATGGCAGAGTAAGCAGAGATGTGATAAATAACAGAAATTAGCCAAGCACAGTGGAGAGTAGGGAGAATAAAAGCATTCTTTCAGGATCAGGGCGTCAGTTTTCTGCATGTAGTCAGTGTGATGTAGAATATTAGATGAAGGTTAGAAAGATGTTTAATACACAGGAGAAAAAGATATGAAGAGAACATGAAAATTAGTCTTTTACTTAGAGATACAAATTGCTATGTTTTATAGTCTTCAAAAATTTTTGAACGTGAATGTAAAAGTTATATACATGTATCTACAGATAATTTATATCATTAAACATGTCATGCTGTCTTCTAATATTTAATAAACATCAATATTGTATTAGTAAATGTACATGGTAATCTTTTATTGCTGCATAGAACTTCACTACATAGTTAAAAATATTAACAGATGTTTAGGTTTTTTCTCTCATAGTATAAGCACTCTTCCCTGCTCTCTCTCTCTTGCTGTTGTTGGAGTTGAGGCTTCCTTTATGAGCCTATCTTGTATTAGTCCCTTACTTTTTCTTCACCTTTTTTTGTCCTCCTGTAGTCTGTTTTCTGTAGTAGCTGCCTCATCCATTCATTGAATAGGGAAGTGGGTTGGGAACAAAGTGTTCTTTACCAATCATGTAAAAGTGCCCCACATTTTGTCATGTACAATACAGAATACTTAAAATTATATGATGTTTATATAGTTACTAATTTATACATTAATTATTATTATAGAATGTACTCCTTCAGCTTATTTAAAAGAAACCAGAATATTTACTTTAAAGCAGAATGCCATGTTACAGCCCAGGTACCTTTTTACTATGTCTCTTGGTTGCATCATTTTTTCTAGTGTTCGGTTTAATCTCATGTCATTTTGTTCACCACATGTGCTGTGTAACCTACATGTGTAGTAGGCTGCACTGTCTAGGTTTGTGTAAGCACACTCTGTGGTGTTTGCACAATGATGCATTTCTCAGAAAGTGTCCTTGTCATGAACTGCTGTGACTGTACAAAGTCATTCTTCTGCATCACCGGGCAGAAGTGTTCTATCACTGAGCCACATTTCCAGCCCTTTTTATTTTTCCTTTGAGGCAGGGCCCTTAAGTTATTGAGGCTGGTCTTGAACTTAAAATCCTGCCTCAGCCTCTTAATAAATATGTAGCTGGAATTGCAGGCTTTGTACTGCCACACCTGGCTGTATACAGTAATTTGTTGTGAGTTTGCTGATTGTACAGCTTAAGCGAGTGAGGGGGCATAAAATATCTGTCAGTTATAAAATACTTTTTGAATGTCTGTTATATAATTAATTTTGTTATTATTTTAGAGAAAAGTAAAGGCATTTCAGATTGCATCCTCAACAGTTGCTAGGACTATTATGGGTAGTTCATGTGGCTGATTTACTTAGTGGAATGATAATAATGTCGCCTAGCCTTTGCAAACCTGTGTGAACCAAACACCTTTCCACATCTGGCAAAGAGGCAATAAAGAACTGGTAGTAGGTAGAAAGAATAATTGGATGAGTGATTGGCCCTAGTCTGGTGACTGTTGTTAACATGCGGCTAAACTGAAATCTGCTAAGCGTGTCAACCCTTCCATGTACTATATAGGAAAGCTTATGGATGAACTTTTAACTTAAGCTTGGATGTAGATAGACTATATTGAAGGTAAGTCAATTAGGTATGCTTTAAAATCTTTTGGTTGCAGATTAAGGAAAATAAATCTAGTTTAGATTAAGCACAATGGGAGTTTATGAGGAGGCTCCTGGCCCCTTTCATTGAGTCCAAGACTAAACTTTTGACACGTTGGTTTTATACACATTAGTTTGGCAGACTGATCAAGGGTAAATAAAGCTGGCTGCACTTGGATCAGGTGCCTGCTTATCATTTAGTTGATCATAGCCATGAGTGTTCAGCCAACTCCTAAGTGTTCTGGCTGTTGTAGGCCCTCAGAGGGTGGGGTGAGCTGTAAGTTATGAGAGAGTGAACTTGTAGTGAATGGTATGAGCTTCCTCAGAGATATCTGGTACAGACTTGCTTTACTCTTCATTTATAATCAGGGTCCTGTGAGACTTAGGCATTTTAAAAGCTTATGGTTTCCATTTAATATACTTAGAAAGTAAAGCTAAATCCTTTTGATTTTATTCTATCATCAGTTACTTTCATTTTAGATAGCAGCCAGTTAGGAGTGGCAGAGTGGCATGAGGAGTGGCATGAGGAGTGGCATGAGGAGTGGCATGAGGAGTGGCATGAGGAGTGGCATGAGGAGTGGCATGAGGAGTGGCATGAGGAGTGGCATGAGGAGTGGCATGAGGAGTGGCATGAGGAGTGGCATGAGGAGTGGCATGAGGAGTGGCATGAGGAGTGGCATGAGGAGTGGCATGAGGAGTGGCATGAGGAGTGGCATGAGGAGTGGCATGAGGAGTGGCATGAGGAGTGGCATGAGGAGTGGCATGAGGAGTGGCATGAGGAGTGGCATGAGGAGTGGCATGAGGAGTGGCATGAGGAGTGGCATGAGGAGTGGCATGAGGAGTGGCATGAGGAGTGGCATGAGGAGTGGCATGAGGAGTGGCATGAGGAGTGGCATGAGGAGTGGCATGAGGAGTGGCATGAGGAGTGGCATGAGGAGTGGCATGAGGAGTGGCATGAGGAGTGGCATGAGGAGTGGCATGAGGAGTGGCATGCAGCCCTTCAGAAATGTTGTGGTTGAGTGCGGGAGCCCTGAGAGGAAGTAAGACCCCCTCAGATGTGGGTCTCTATTCCACATTCATGCAGTGAACCCTCCTATCCCCATGACGATCTCACCTTCACGGTGACTCTTAGGCTTTCTTATTATTGGGTTTCTTTTGTTAGCGGACTAGACTGAAAAGCCTTTTCGGTTGTGAACCACTGAATGAAGCAAAAATTTACTGAGGCCCCTTTGAGGTACATTTTTAGGGTTTCTGGTTATGAAAGCCCTGTCCTTGTTTAGAAAGACTTAAAACCAAATGTTTATGGAATCTTTTAAAAAAGATAAAATGTAGCAATTTAAAGTTATAAATAAATGGTTAGATGCTGGTAGGTAACTCACCTCAAAGTGTGCTAGAATCTTGTGAACCACTTCTTTAAAACCCAGCCTAGTCAGCATCTGACCTGGAACTATGGTTGCTTCTTTTTTTTTTAGTTAATTATTTTTATTAGTACATTTTTGGAGCACACAGTGATTATATGCATCGTGGAGAGTTGGTACATCACTAACCCATTTTATAATAACTTCTTCAGTGGTCTCCCTGCTCTCACCCGCTACAGTTTCCTCTCAAGGGCAGGATTTAGTGGTGGTTTGCTCACTACTCTGCTTAGAATTTTTTTTCTATAGAAAACCTGAAATTCTTTCTGCAACCTAGAAAGTCCTGCAGGATTTGACTCTTCCCTCTTTCACCTGAACTCTTGCAAAGTAGTCCTCATTGGGCTGCAGTCACAGTGACCTCCTGGCACGCTCACTTTAAGGCTGGTGGCTGCCTCCCTCCCTCCTTTCTGTCTTCCACTTCCCCTGTTTTCCCATGAGCTAGGTAAGCTCTTTACTGCTTAGCAGTGCCGGAAGGTCTGCATTACTCTTTAACGGTGTTTTACCTTTTCTTCATTGAGCAGATAATTTGAACATTATGTTTATTTGTGAATGTTTCCTCTTGTAAACTTAAAGCTCCATGGGAACAAAGTTTTTGTCTTTTTTTTTTATACACAGCTGTATCTTCAGTGCTTAGTATGGAATTGATGCTCAGTAAATATTAGTGTACTCTGGGTAGTAGTTGAGGAAGGTAGTGTATTACAGCTGTAGCACTAATAAATATGGGGATGATAGGAGATAAGAAGAAAGAAAATATCCCTCATATATTTTCTTTATAAAGCTGGTAGAATTGGTTGCTTTATGTAATTAGTGTTGATGTTTATCCAAAAAATATCTGATTATATTCCATTTAAGATGAAGATGATGACTTTATGTGTAAGAAGACAGCCTCTAAAGCAAAAGAGAATGGAGGATCTCCAAATACTTACCTCGGGACATCCAACATGAAGAAGAGTGAAGAAAACACAAAGAACAAGAATAAGCCTTTATCGCCAATAAAACTCACACCCATGTCAGTGCTTGATTATTTTGGAACTGGAAGTGTCCAAAGATCAGATAAGAAAATGGTAGCAAGCAAAAGAAAAGAGGTAAGTGTTCTGTATACAAGCAAGAATGTTGAAGATTGCTGGGCATGCCGCTGCATACCTGTTATCTCAGTGCTCAGGAGGCTGAGGGAAGGATGCCAAGTTCAACCTCAGCTTGGTCTGTATAGTAAGACCCTGTCTCAAAAAAAAAGTTCAGAATTAATACTCATTGATATTAATGAGAGAAGTTAGGATGTTATAAACAGGTCCACATGTTTTAGTAATGAAAATAATTTTCCATTGCTTATGGATCAAATGTATTGCTTTTTAGAGGAGAAAGAAATTAAAATATGATATATTTAATTCTCTCTTATTTGTACCGGGGATTGAATGAACTTGGGTCCTTGTGCTTGCAAGGCAGGTCGCAGAACCACTGAGCTAAGTCCCCGGCCCGTAATATTTAATTTTTTAAACTTCAAAGCAGGAAAAAAAAAATTTTTTTTTCCATACCAGATATCAAACTCAGGATCTTGTGCTTGCAAGGCAGGCGCAGCATCATGGAGCTATATCCCTGGCCCAGAAAAAATTATTTGAATCATAAGAAAATGTTGTAATTCTTAGAATTTAAATTGAATTCTCAGAATGAAAGCTCATTTTACTATTGACCTCAGCCATAGAAAATTAGACAATAAATTTGTTCCGAAATGAGACTATAAATAACTTTCCATATAGATAGAGCATACCTATGCTGTACTTTTGACCTTCCTTTGACTGATAGTGGATCGATCTTTTTTAGCCATTTAGGAAGCAGAGATAAATGATAGTGAAAGTGGCCTCCTGAGTTAGATAAGCATCCCAGATGGTGTGTGTTTGCTGATTTCATTATCGCCATCATTCTCACTCACTGGCTTGCCAGGGTTCTGGGCTACTTCTCAAGTGAAGACATTAATCTTGGGGTTTTTGTGTTGTGGGGGTGTGCTGCTTTTGAACACATCAGTAGAAGTAGGAACCATCGGTCTGTGGAATCTTTGCTCAGGAAATTGGATGTGGTCAGGGAGTAGTCCTGAACTTAACTTTCTGGCTGGTATGGATTGTGACCATTATGGGTACACTTACCTCTCATTGGTTTGTTTGTTTTTTTGTTTGTTTATTTATTGGTACCGGGGATCAAACTTGGGTCTTTTGCGCTTGCGAGGCAGGCGGTGGAACCACTGAGCTAAATCCCTGGCCCTCATTGGTATATTTAATCGGCTATGGTCAAGACAGAAATCTGATTTTGAACTTAAGGTTTATGCTGCTCTTACTTGATTTTCTTTGAAATGTAGCCTCCACAAAACAAGGATGATTCCAGATTAAATGATGAAGCCATCGCCAAGCAATTACAACTTGATGAAGATGCAGAGGTATTGACATTTTACTCAGATATCATTAATAACTTGGTATTATGACTTGCTCTTTAGTTTAGCCAGGCAATCAGTCAAGATTGTTCCAGTCTAATTTTGAATTAAACCTCATTGGAAGTAAAATAAATATATGAAAAATTTAAATGTCTGCAGAAAATAAATGATGAGAGTAAGGGGTAATTATTTACTAAAGATTTATCTTTAGAGTTCTTTGATTGGGTGGCTCCTGAAATATATTGAGAATGACTGAATGTGCTCATAGCTCTTTTTTTTGTTTGCTTGTTTTTTTGAGACAGGGTCTCACTGTATAGTTGAGACTGACCTGGAACTCACTATGTAGCCCAGGCTGGTCTCCAACTCACAGTGATCCTCCTGCCTCAGACTCCCAAGTGCTGGGATTACAGGCTTGAGCCACCACGCCGGGCTGCTCTTAGCTCTTTTGTTTGTAATAGGCAACCTCACCCATTCCTGTGGTTTTATCTACTACATATATGCTGATGACGCCTGTGCCTGTCTCCAGTTCAGTTTCCATTACCTTTACTTTACCTTCAATACCTTTAATGTCTAGAACAGGGCTAGGCACTCGGTAAGTGCCCAATAAATATATTTATTTATAAAATAAATATATATAAATAGCTAAATCCCGGGCCCTTGTGCTCTTGCAGCATATCAGTAAACTCTTTACTTTCCTATACTTTTGACTCTGGGCAAAAATTCTTTTACCACCATGGTATGGTGTTTTCACGTGGTACATCTTGCATAGCAGAAGTGGCAGAAATGAAGTGATACTGAGAGCTGTGGTGCTGGTACTGAGGGAGAAGATTTGCCCTAAGCAGAGGGAACAATAGCAGGTGGGAGCATTGTGAGATAGAAATGTCCTTTGTATATTCAGGTGACCCAGATGGCTAGAGAAGAGTGATGGAGAGGGAGAGTGGATGAGGCTATTTTGGAGAAATGACCAGCGGCACATTTGCTAAGTCATGGCATGGACTTTAATAGTAACTAAGAGCACTTTGCGTGGTAAGGACTTGGAATTTTGATCTCAGTGATGGGAGGGCATTGGAGTTTTGAATAGAGAAGTGACAAGATTTGATAGATCTTCTGTGATGTTATTGGACTATGGTGGGGCCAGAGCAAAAGCAGAGCAGTTAGTAGGGCAGGTTGGAGAAGACTCTGGCTTGTAGCAAGTTGGTATTGGAAGAGAGTAAAAAGTGGTCGTAACCTGAATGTGCCTTATTGGCTAAATGGTGATATTATTTACTGAGGCTGGAACACAGGATGCAGAACAGGTTTGGTGCAGAGAAACCAGGAGTTCTATTTTGGACATATTAAGTTTGAGATGTTTGGTAGACTTGCAAATAAAGATGCAGAGTAGGTGGTTGAATAGAGACACCTGCAGCTTGGGCTAAATAGAAGTCTAAGCTGAGGATGGGAATTATGAGCGTTTGAATGACATTAAAACTAATGCACCTGGATTGAACCATGGGGAGAAAATGTAAATGGAAAAGAAACGGGTCTCAGGATTGAGCTCTGGGGCACTGTTAACATTTAAGAGATCAGGAAGAGGAAGATGATTCAGAAAGGAGACTAAGAAAGGGTGGCTAGTGAAGGAGGAAAATGAGGAGAGCTTGATTTTTGTGGAATAAAGAAAATCTCAAGGAGCAGTGTGCATCTGTATCCAAGGCTCCTGGCCTAGGTACCTGTGGTTTCAATCCCTCTTCTGTTTCTTAGCTTAACTCACTTTCTCACACTCTGAGCTACTCTATTAGAACTCTCTCCTTACACTGCTGTTATCATTTGTTGAAATTGTGGTTTTAAGTATGTTCTCTCTATAGGCTCCAGTTACCACTTAGCAGTGATATGTATTTCTCACAACAATCGTGGCATCTTAGGGCCTGGTGTAGAGAGGATTGAAGTTGTGAGTGTTCCTGCTGTATTAGTTTGGCAGTTTATAGTTGGTGTTTTTGAAATCTTTTTCTAACATATTTGATTGCCCTGAATTATGTTATCTGCAGATATCAAAGTAGCATGGGTGGCTAGGTTAAACTATGAGGTAGGGACCTGACTTTTTCTGACCTGTCCTGGATAGTGGAGGATTAACCAATTTTTTCCAAATCAGGAGTAGTGCTTTGTAACATAATCCTGTTTTTTCATTTTTATTAAATTCTTTCAGGGTCTGATTTGGGTAATCAATCTTTTATTTTTGTTTTTTGGTACCAGGGATCGAATTTGGGACCTTGTGCTTGTGAGGCAGGCAGTGAAACCACTGATCTAAATCCCCTGCATTTAATTAATCTTTTAAAGTATTAGTGATTTATGATATCTTTCCTGATTATTCCTCTGAGTCCCCCTCCTTTCCCCTCATTTTTATATCTTTATTTAGTAAATATATGTCCACTATCTAATACTCAAGTCAGTGTTTTAAATGCCACATTTAGCTATGTTAAATATTGTGTTGAAATATAAAACTCTTGATCCCATGATGCCATAATCAGCAATAATGAATTTTTTTTTTTTTTTTTTTTTTTTTTTTTTTTTTTTTTTTTTGGGTACTGGGGATTGAACTCAGGACCTTGTGCCGTGAGGCAGTTATGGTGCCACTGAGCTAGATTCTCAGCCCTGCAATATATATATATTTTTTTTAGCAATAAATTTCTGATGGAAAAATTTCAATTTTTCTGTTTTCTAAAACATCTAGAATTCTTTTTTTTTTTTTTTAAAGATAGGGTCTTGCTATGCAGCTCATGCTGTTCTCGAACTTGTCATCCTCCCACTTCAGCCTTTCGAGTATAGAATCCATACTAAATAGTCTGAAATTTTGAAAACATAGCATAGAATTCAACCATAAATCCTTGAAAGGCTACTGGTGGTTTAGGACTTGCAGGACATCTCTAAGATTTTTGTGTTGTTTTTAGCTATTAGATGTATAGTTCAGTTATGGTAAAGAAATGGTCGATAAAAGAGAATGTATTGTGTCTCTTGTCGTACTTATAGTTCTGCTTAGCTTGTTTTGATGTTGTTTTTGGTGCTAGGGATTGAACCCAGAGTCTTGCACATACTATTTATATGTTCTACCACTGGTTCATTTTATAACCAGGACCTAAAGGCTTGCTTACTGTATTCTCATCAAGTGTATGTCATCTATACCTTTTCTTTTGGATTAGTTGGATTTTGAGGATGTTTGCCTTTGTTTGACTAATGTAAGGAAAGTTTTTTTTGTTGTTTTTTTTTCCCCCTTAATATTAGGCCATTTAACCAGGGGACATATACCCAGTAAGTTTATAGTGGGAAATACATTCTGTTGGTATACATTTTCTTCTGGAAGGGCTCATTTTGTTGAAATTGAAAATATTTGGAATAATAATGAGGTAACTAGAATGTTTGTTTTACTAACAGGAAAACTGACCTGATGGCTTAAACTTTCAAAAGTTAGAACAGATGCGTTTGAGTTATAGTTGAAAATAGGAGTTTGATGATAAGTAACAGTGACATTTGTAGGTGCTTACCATGTGTACAATGAAAATATATAATTTTCTAGACTCTTAGACTTGCTTTTCTTGTACCTTCCAGGTGGTGATTTTTGTTATGTTGAACTTTATTTCAGAGATTTGTCTACAGTTTAAAATACATGTAAATAAGATCTGTAAGATTTACATTAGGATCATTGTGAGAAAATTATAGACTTCAAATTTTATGTGATCACTATAAAAACATAGCTGGATTTCTCTCTCCTGCAGAACTAGAAAATATATGTTCTATAATTGAGTATTTCAGAAACAAACCTGTGATGCTTGACTATTAATAATGTTCAGTGGAAAATTGTCAGGATAATTTTTTTTTTGTTGTCTTTTTGTACTGGAAATTGAACTCAGGCAGGTGCTGTGTCCCTGAACTACATCCCCTTAACCTTGTCAGGGTAATTTTTTAGGAAATATTTTAGTTTTTTCACAAAGTCTTAATTTATGAACAACAGCACAAAAGCATCTCACTGTATTGACACTTTTTACAGCTGGAAAGGCAACTGCATGAAGATGAAGAGTTTGCCAGAACATTAGCCATGTTGGATGAGGAACCCAAGACCAAGAAGGTGACGTTACATTGAACTGTTTGCATTCTGAGTATACAGTATAGGCCAAGGTTCCTTTCCATTCCAGTGTTGTGGGCTCTGTGGTATCACCTGGGGCAACTCTTCTGGAAAAAAGCTAAATTATTTTAATTATAAAATTGCTTTTGGAGAAACTCATTGAAAAACATTCTTTCTAAAAGAAGTTTGCAAGAATTGAAACAAACTAGATAGAGCCTTCAGAAAAAAATGTGTTATCCCAGTGTGTTCTTTTGTATTAGCAAGTGAATAATGCTTAGAATTCCTTTTTGCTGTCTACAGGAAGTATAGTTTTGTTTTGCTTTTTTTTTGTATTGGGGATTGAACTCCAGCCCTTGAGCTTGTGAGGCAGGTGGCAGAACCACTGAGCTAAATCCCCAGCAGGAAGTATAGTTTTGATATTTCTAGTTAACCTTAAGGTCTTTCAAGATAAGTCTCAGTAATGTATTTTTGGAATTATGTTTGTTTGTTTGTTTGTTTGTTTGTTTTTGTTTGTTTCGTTTTTTGAGACAGGGTCTCACTATGTAGTTGAGTCTGACCAGGAACTCACTACTAGTCCAGGCTGTTCTCAAACTCCCAGCGATCCTCCTGCCTCAGCCTCCCGAGTACTGGGATTATAGGTGTGCGCCACCATGACTGGCTATGTTTTTTTGTTTTTAAGTTAGAGACCAGGTGCTAGGTTGCTCAGGTTGGCCTTGAATTCAGGATCCTCTTGTCTCAGCCTCTTGAGTAGCTGGGACTATTAAAAATTTATTTTTTTAATTTGAAAAGCCCTCCAGTAAATGAGCTCATTCACCTGCTTGCTTGCTTTCTTGCTTCCTCCCTCTCTATCTTTCTCCCCATCCCTCCTTCTTTTAACAGAAGCAAGCTTTTCATTTATTAAAAGTAAGAAAAGAGGCCGGCGTGGTGGCTCACACCTGTAATCCCAGCACTCGGGAGGCTGAGGCAGGAGGATCACTATGAGTTCGAGACCAGTCTGAGTTACATAGTTAGTTCCAGGTCAGTCCCAACTACATATTGAGACCCTATCGCAAAAAAACAAAACAAAACAAAACAAAAAAGTAAGGAAAGAAACAGATTCTACTGAGCAAATCTGGGTCAAGTAAAAGTAGGAAAAGAGGTGCACTCTATAGCTTGGACTATTGTGAGAGAACAAAGAGCCAATTAGCTGTATTTCTGATAGAACACATTCTGTTAATATAATTGTCACTATCAATATCTGGTTATTTTAAGAGATTTTACTCCTATCCTTTAAAGGAGGAGGTTGTAAAAGTAGGTATTACTAGGAATCAAGACTAAGCACAAAGGTATAAGACAGTAGGGAGTGATGGGGACTTTCATTTGAAAAGCCTTATTCTTGCCAATAATTCAGATTACTACATACTGTGTATGTAGTAATTAGTCACTAATTAGTCACTAGTCACCTAATTTGTGACCTCTTTATGAAGTGTGGTTTTGTGGGAGCAGTGGAGAAATTGTATATGTCTGTTTCTTTTTTGAGAAAATACTTTTTCATTATTCTTTAGAACTTCAGCTGGCCATGGTGGCACATGGCTGTAATCCCAGCACGTGGGAGTCTGAGGCAGGAGTATCAACATGAGTTTGAGGCCAGACTGGGCTACACAGTGAGTGAGTTCAGGGCCAGCTGGAACTACATGGGGAGACCTTGTTTCAAAATAAAACAAAACAAAAAAACACTTCAGTTTGTATTCATCTTAGTCTTTTTGGTTTAGATTTTAGTTTTTAACTGTGTAATGCTAACGACTTGAAAGTTGGAAAAAGAGGCAGAAATAGGTGTCCATTTCCAGCTTGATAGTTGGGATGAAATGGCATAATTTTTTGTTTTTTTTTTTTGTTTTTTGAGACAGGGTCTCACTATGTAGTTGAGACTGACCTGGAACTCACTATGTAGCCCAGGCTGGTTTCGAACTCACAGCAATCCTCCTGCCTCAGCCTCCAGAGTGCTGGGATTACAGGTGTGTGCCACCACGCCCAGCTCATAATTTTTTATAGATGTGTTTTTATAAAATTTCATCTGTTTCCTCCTGCTGTGTCAAATGAAGTAATAAAACATACTAAATTTGCTGTAGAAATTTTGTGGATGAATGAATGCCAGTTGAGTATAGTGTCTTGCTAATTTGGAAGGTGACCCTTGTACTGAAAACTTTAATCCATTTTAACAACAGATTTTGTGATGATAATAGCTTTCCTGTTATTTGTTACATTTCACACTTTTTAAATTTGTTTAGGCCCGAAAGAACACTGAAGAGGGAGAAACATTTTCATCTGTCCAAGCCAATTTAAGTGAAGTAGGAAAACATAAATATCCCCCAAAAGGTAATACTACCAGAGGAAAATAATAGCACTTGTCTTTGTAGGATTTTCAATAACCTTGTTTAAACATTCTATTTGTTAATTGGATTGCTAAATGAACATTATTTTATACAATGATTAGAGCAAGTTCTCTTTAAATATGACTGTTCCTAGACTTATGGTAGGGTAATTGTATGGTAGGGTAATGTTCCAATAAACTTACCATAAATCAAAATTAACATAAGTGGAAAATACCTTGAATATTCCTATCTTGCAGGTATCGTGGCTTAGTAGTGCAGTGCACTGTTGCTGCTGCCCCCCACCAGCATGTCTAGGGAATACCATCCATGTATTTACTGCTAGCCAGGGGAAAGGTCAGAATTCAGAATTTGGAGTATGTTTTCTACTGAATATGTTTTCACTATTACAGTGGAAAAATGAATAATCATATGTTGAACTATCATAAGTCGGGGAGTGTCTGTACTTTCAAAGCTGTTTACTTAATAACTTATGGAGAATGCCCTTCTGCTCTGTGATTGTTGAGAAACGTGTTCTGGCTCTTGGCATCATGCTCATTTCTGAGTATATTGCAATATGTGGTGCTTTGAATTTTTCATGTTGGAGATAGTCTCATATAGCTAACTTACAGAGATGTGATCAAAGAATAGAGTGAATGTTTAAATTAAAAAAATACTATAGTAAAAAACATATTGCCATTAATCCCCCTCAAAGTACTCTTCCTTGGGCTGGGGATTTAGCTCAGTGGTGCCACTGCCTGCCTTGCAAACACAAGGTCCTGAGTTCGGTCCCTGGTGCCCCTCAAAAAAACCCAAAAAACTCTTCCTTGCTTTCAACACACATATCCCTTTATTCTTGCCACTTTCTGAAGCAGTTCTAGGAGTCATCCTTCATGTTTTTAGTTACCCTATTGTGGCTGCTTTCATATCTAAATCAGTTCAAAACCTTTGCCTTCCATGGTCATTTTGGCTTTAGAGCCAGTAGTATTAACGGTGCCAGATGTGGTGAATAAAGTGGATGGAGACACACTGTCATGTTTCTACGAGACTGCCTTTCTATTGGATGGTACTCAGCAGCAGCATGCCCATATTTTGGTCATGCCTCTTAAGGACACTCATAAAATAGGATTTCCAGAACTGCTTCAGAAAGTGGCAAGAACGATGGGGTAAATAAGTTCAGAAGTGAGGGAGTATTTTGGAAGGATTAATGGCAGTGTATCTTCTACTATAATACATTTAAAAATTTTTAAATATTTGCCATATATTTTGATCACCCCTTATGTAGTAGACATCTGAAGCTACTCTGTCACTTGTCCTTCATGGTCCTGACCGAACCATTTGTTAGTATAGTTCTTCCTGGTTACCTGTGGAGGATGGATTCCAGGATCTCTTTGGAGAACAAGTCTCTTATATAAAGTGACATAGAATTTGCATATAAGCTATGCACAGCTCTCTGTATACTTTAAATCATCTCTAGAGTATTTATAATACCTAAGAAAGTGTAAATGCTACATAAATAGTTGTTATGTTATATTGTTTGGAATGATGACAAAGAATCTGTACATGTTCTGAACAGACCCAATTTAAAAAAATATCAGTTTTTGGTTGTTTGAATGCATGAATTGGATATTGAAGGCTGGCTGTATAGACTGTCTTAATCCTGTAAGTAAATCTGTTTATATAGCATCTTTTGGTCTTGACCCCAGCAGATTTTGAGATTTCAGGTTGTATAACAAACAAGATTTTTGTGTGACACATTCTGGTCAGTAAGGTAAATTTCAACACATGTCTGGGAGGTGAAACCCTTCTCTTTAAATGTTGTTTACAGTATTATATCAAGACATGATTAGTTTATATTTAAATGACAGGCACTTCTCTTAATTTGGACTGGTTATACAAAGAAGTAATATACAAATGTTTAACTTTTAAAAAATATATTATATAAGCTAAATAGTTAAAATATTAATGTTTTAAAATCACCATATGAAATTGCTATTAACATCACTTGCTTAAAAAAAAGTGAAAAAATGTTGGTATTGTGTGTCATTCTCAAAAAACAATAATCGTCTTTTCTTCCTGGTAAAAGGACAAAGATTTTCAAAAGAGAGAAAGAGCTACAGTCCTAATAAGCAAACTAAGTGTGAAAGCACGAAAGAATCTCCACAACCATCCTCTTCTCCAAAGGCTAGTTGTAAGCTGGCACTCATGAAAGCAAAAGAAGAGAGTTTCTATAAAGAAACAGAGCCCGCGCCCTCAAAGAGAAAAGAAAGTGCTGTTGAATTGAAAGGAGAGAAAAAAACTCCTAAGAAAACCAAAAGTTCTCCAGCTAAAAAAGAGGTAAGGACTTTCTGAAAAGTGCCTATTTGGTGGCTATGTGTTGGTCTGAGTTTTCAAGTTTTATTCCCAACTTCCTAAGTCTGCAGTTCTTTTAAGATAATATTTAAGAGCTGGGAGTGTAGTTCAGTGCTACAGTGCTTGCCTAGCATGTGTGAGGCCCCAGGTTTGATTCCCAGAAAATACCTTATTTAAAGCTATTACAAGCCAGGTGTGGTGGTGCACACCTGTACTACCAGCACTCGGGAGGCTGAGGCAGGAGGATTGTCTCAAGTTCGAGGCCAGCCTAGACTACATAGTGAGACCCTGTCTCCAAAAGAAAGGAAAGCAAGCAAGCAAGCAAGCAAGCAAACAAAGAAGCAAAGTATTACAGAGTGCAGAATTAGTAGATAGATTAGCCAATATTCATTGCTGTTATGTATTAGACATTGTGCTACTGTGTTAGATGGGGTTTCTCATGATCTTCACAGTAACCCTGGAGGATATTTATTTTTATTATTCAAGTTTCAAAGATGCAGAAATAGGCTGAAAGAGTTTCATGTAACTTTCTCAAGATTTCCCTGGTAGTATGTGACAGAGCTAGCCTAGAACTCAGGTCCTCCCGAGTACAGAAATAGCATAGACGGTGGAGCTTTTCAGATCACAGTCCTGTTGCTGAGAACACGTGTGGCATTTGTCCAGTTACTTCTCTCAATGCTTAGGTTTCCTCTTAGAGATAATAATTGTACCTAGTGAGTAAATCTCTAAAACCACTTAGAGAAGAGTCTGGGATATAAATACTATGTAAATCTTTGTTATTACAATACTATTTGGATTTGTTCTGAATTTATTCTTTTTTGCTCTTTTTAAACTTTTTATTATATGTTTGAGACATAATATTCACATTCATTTTGGGGGAATTGGTGCATATGTATATTGTATCTTGATCATTTCCCTCCCCCTTCCTCTGCTTCTTTTCCTCTTCAAAAACTGCCTCCCTGTTTCCTACCATCTCTCTTTTATTTTAATGTGTTATTTATTTAATTTTGGGTTTCTCATATAAGAGGAAGCATGTGATAGTTCACTTTTTTTTTTTTGGTACCGGGGATTGAACTCAGATCCTGTGCCTGCAAGGCATGCAGCAGAACTGCTGAGCTAAATCCCCGGCCCTAAATACTTATTTTTTTGGTACCAGGGATTGAACTTGGGATCATGTGCTTGCAAAGCAGGCGGCGGAACTGCTTAGCTAAATCCCCTGCCCCGGTAGTTCACTTTCTATGTCTTATTTCATTTTTTCATCCATTTTCCTGTAAATGACATGCGTTCTTTCTTTAATAAAATTCCATTGCGTGTATGTACTGTATTTTCTTTATAGATTTGTCTTTTGATGGGCATTCAGGCTGTGAATGGTGCTAAATAGTATTTAAATTTTATTTTCCATTTGTTTGTTGCTAGTATATGAAATAGAATACAAATTTTTTAAAGCATGTATTGACTTTGGTATGACTTTATTGAACTCATTAGAATTTTGAGGGGTAGATTTCTTAGGATTTCTGTGTTATGTACAGAATCATGTTGTTTATGAATCAAGACAGTTTCACTTCTTCCCCATTTGTGGGCCTTATATTTCTGGTCGTTGCTACACTGTACTGGCTGGGATGTCCAGTTCAGTGTTAGATAGTTGGGTGAGAACTGGCACCCTTGCCTTGCCCTTGCTCTCAAGGGAAAGGCTCCATTCAGTCTCCCTCAGGAACTGTGGTGTTGTGTGCAGGTTTTGGGGAATGCCTTTTGTCAGGTTGCAGAGGTTACCTTCTGTTCCTTGTTTGCTGAGAGATTTTTTTTTTTTGTTCTTTTTTTAAACATCAGAAATAGGATTGAATGTTGTCAGGTTTTTTTCTGCATCTTTGGAAATGATATGGTTTTTCCTTTTTAATTCTGTTAATATAGTCAATCATGCTGATTTAAAAAGAGTGTTAAATCACAATTGCATTTGATTTCCTAATATTTTATTTTATTTTATTTTTGGTACTGGGGATCGAACTCAGGTCCTTGAACTTGTGAGGCAGGAGGCAGAACCACTGAGCTAAATCCCTGGCCCGCTTTCCTAATGTTTTGATGAGTTTAGCATCTGTGTTTGTGAGATAGTTTTCTTGTAAAGCTTTTACTGTCAGCGTTATACTGATCTTATAAAGTGAAGTGAACAGTCTCTATTTTCTGGAAAAGTTTGTGGGACACTGATATTATTTCTTTCTTAGATGGTTGTTAGATTCCACATATAAAACCTGATAGAGGCCTACATTTAGGGTGGCATTTGGAAGTTTAAAGTTATTAATTTAATTACATGCCAGATATAGGACCAATTATTTTTTTTTCTTGTGTCAGTTTTGTCAGTTTGTCATTCAAGAAATTTATTTTATCCAAGTTGTAGAATTTATTGGAATGAAATTGTTTTCCTTCAAAATTTTTGTGGGGCTTATAGTTATTCCTTATATTGGTAAAGGCTTTATCTGCTTCCTTCTTGAAAATAACTTCTTTTTCAATTTTATTTTTAAAAATTTGTTATTAGTACACATTTGTAGGACGTAATGATTACTTTCATGGTGGGGAGTTGGTACATATACCTAACACATCTTAATTCTTATTTCCTCTTTCCCTGTCCTCCTCCCTCCCTCTTCCTTTTTGTTCTGTAGAACAGTGGTGAGTTACTAAAATAATTTTCAAAGGAAAAAATGGTGAAATAATGAATGCTTTTCATAATACCTCCACCCCCCCCATATATTTAAAATATTAGTGTTTTTCTTAAATCTCCAGTTTGGAACCTCTTTAGATTCCTGATGAGAAACCACTATTCTTTCATGCCTCTTAGGCAGTTAGCATTAAAAGCAGAACATTGTCTGTTTTAACTGCTCATCAGAATTGTTTTTAGTGCAGAACCATGAAATGCTGATGATTTTGAAATGCTTTTGTTAAGGGCCAGTGCTCATAAATATGCTTAAAGGAACAATTAACTTTTTGGTCTAAGATTTTTCTTCACTAAATACTTATCAGGTGGATAATGTTTTTCCTCAGGCATACTAAACATGTTCATTTTACAGAGGGTATTTATTTTTATGAAATGAGGAAAATTTTAATTGAACTATTACTCTTCATGGTAATTTTCAAAATTAGGAATTTCTCAGAAATTTTACTTAAATAATTTTGAGAATATTGAAATTTAATAAATTCAATTGATCTCACTTCGTAAATGGGTGTACTTCAAAATTACTTTATAAACTACATTTCAGAATATTTTTCATAGAATTAATGTCATAAACCACTTATGGTAGTGCATGCCTGTAATCCCACCACTTGGGAGGCTGAAGCAGGAGGATCACTGAGTTCAAAGCTATCCGGGACCTACAGAGTGAGTGCAAGGCCAGCCTGAACAATATGGCTAAACCTTGTCTCAAAAAAATCAAAAGTGAATGTCATAAAGAAACAACTTGCTTATGCTGATAATGCATTGGACTCAATTGTGATGCTTCTTAAAAATATTTCCTATTATAGATATATTTTTTTGTTTGTTTTTTTGGTCGTAGTGGTAATTGAACCCAGGGTTTAATTCATGCTAGGCAAGTGCGCCAGCACCGAGCTGCATCTCAAGCTCTTTTTATTTTGAGATAGAGTCCCGCCAAGTTGTCCACACTGGCCTTGCTGAGAAGCCTGGATTACAGACATGTGCCACCATGCCTGGCTGGGCAGCTGCATTTTAATAAGCTTCTACTTGCGATGAACACACACCAATGTGTGAGAGCCATTGTTAAAAAAGTAGGGTTAGATTCTAGGACAAGCCCGTAATGGTTTATTTAACTTAAAACCAAACCAGCTTTACTGTTTCATTGGTTATATAATTTATTTATGTAGAACTAATATTTTTATCTCTTAAAGGGATTTAGGATTTCTTGGGAGTTAAAAATAATGTGAAATAGGAAGTGTAGAAAACAAGAGACCAGCTTGTCGTAATTCTTTGTTTTTGTTTTTGAGATAGTGTCTTGCTATGTAATTCAGGCTGGCCTTGAGCACACAGCAGTCCTACTGCCCCAACCTCCTGAGTGCTTCCCCCATGCCCTGCTTTTAGGGGTTCTTAGATTCTAATTATCGAAGGACTCCTCTCCCACTACCCACCCTAGCTACTCATCCCCCTGTTCCCCATCTCTGAATCAGAAACCTGGACCCTGGAAGTGAGTCCAAGGATAGATAGTTTGAAAATTCCCTGGGATTTTTTGACCCACACTCACGACAAGATCCCCTGGGAGATCCAACACAACACGGGAGAGTGGTAGATGGGGAAGCTCGTTGGAGCTGGCTGGCTGTTTGAAGCCTTTGAGTCTCAGACTGGAGTGCTGCTGTCCCTAGGGTGCAGGATAGTGTTTTAGGGATGGACAAGGCCACAGCAAACTATAGGGTAGCTTCTCTGGTGATCATGTTAAATTGAGGGAGAATTTATTTTTCTGTTAATATAAACAGATTTATCATGGAATAGAATTTAAAATTCATACACATTTCTAATATAAAACACAATTTTCATTTGTGTCCTTGGAGCTTGTGTACTTGCCCCTGCGCTGTGCTGAGATTTGTGCCCCTAGAGTGCAAAATTTTGAGGGATATTTGTAAGTCAATCATCTGTCCATTAAAACAGTTAATTTTTGCTGGGGATTTAGCTCTGTGGTTCCACTGCCTGCTTTGCAAGCACAAGGACCCGAGTTTGATTCCCTGGTACCAGAAAAAACAAACATTTAATTTCAGGACAAAACATAGACATAATGCAGAAGTGCAAGGTCCAGAGTTCGATCCCTGGTACCAAAAAAAAAAAAAAAAAAGAAAAAAATGACTTTTTAAGGTTTAGGTATGTATTATAAATTTTCTGTGAATTTTGTATAATGTTGTGCAATCTCCTCTCCCTCTACCCAAAGTCTACTAGTCCAGAAGACTCTGAAAAGAAACGCACTAATTATCAAGCTTATCGAAGCTACTTAAATCGAGAAGGTCCCAAAGCTCTGGGCTCCAAGGAAATACCAAAGGTAAGAATACTGAGGAAGCATGTGGCCACATATGTGTTCACCGTGCTTACAGCCACAGAGAAGTGGTAATTAAAAATCAACAACTGGAAAGTCTCAGTGACGTCTGTATGAATTAGGGATGTTGATCTTATGAATCACCGCTGAATATTTAGAAAATGTTTCCTTTAAATAATAAGTATTCCTAGAAGGCCTGGGCTATGACGGCACTAGTGCTCTTTGCCCTTTCGGCACTTACCGTTTAAAGAGATGTTAAATTTGTATTATTTAATTGCAGTTATAATAATATATGTCAGAAGGAAAAATCCAGGGTGCTCTTAAGAGTATAAAGTGGAGGGGCTGGGCCTTGGGTGGGACATGTATAATAAATAACATTGAGATGGGGACCTGAGGAATGAAGGTCATGACAGCATGGTGATCTGGGGGTCAGAATATGTAATGTCCTTAAGGAAGGAAGGATCTTGCATGGTATGTGTGAGGAACTAAAGGAAAAGTGAGGTAGTTGGAGTAGAGTGACTAAGGAATGAATGATTGAACCCGGGCCTTTGCACTGGCTATTTCCCCAGCCTTTTAAAATAGTTTTTCTTTTGAGACAGGGTCTTGCTAAGTCAGTAAGTTACCCAGGCTGGGCTCAAACTGGTGATCCTCCTGCCTTAGCCCCGCAGAGTGCCAGGATTATAGGCATGTTCCACCACACCTGGCCAGTGTCTCAGACTTTTACCTGAGAGGCAGTTTCCGGTGGAGGAGTGTAGGGAGAAGCTTTGCAAATCCAAGACATGACTCTAGCTGCTGCTCGTAGATGGTAGTGACGATGGGAATAGCTGTTGGCAGTGCAGTTAGAGAGGACGGGAAATGGTCGGAATGTCTGAGGGGCAGAGGAGGTGCTGAGAAGTGACCATCCCGCGGGAGAGGTGGAAGCTACAGGGCTTGGCATAACGGGACACTCGAAGTGAGAGACAGTGCGTGTGGGGCCGGCCTCCTGGTTCTGATGTGAGCACGGGGGCAGATGCCAGGGCCAGGGGAGGCTGAGTTCCTGGGGCCGTGTGAGGTGCCCACGTGGAGGGACTGAGGAGACAGTGCATGTGTGGGGGTGAAGCTCAGAGCAGAAGTCAAGGCCGTGTGCACGCGTGGGCTTCTGACTTGTGGACAGTATTGGGAAGGGTAATGTCTCTGACAGACTGGTTCAGAGCAGAGTGTGTGCATTGTCCTCCGCTCTGCTGCGGCATGAAGTAGAGGTGAGAGACACTGAAAGGGTTCTGAGAGGGAGCAGCCACAGACGAAAGAGAGAAGTTGATGAGGGTAGTATCACAGAAGCAAAGGCGAGAGGCTGTTTTTAAATGATTGAGTGGTTACGCCTGTCATGCTGATAAGATTCTGGGAAAGAGGAGTCTGAGATGTCCATTGTATCTGGTGAAATGAATGTGGCCCTTGTGACCTTAGCTAGGGCAGTTTCAATAGAATGGTGCAGGCAGGAGAGCCAGATGGGAGTGGGTTTAGGAGTGAAGAGGAAGAATGGAGACAGTACAGAAAGGTGATATTTTTTATAAACTTGGTTATAAAGGGGAGAAGGGAGAATGCGCCTTGGTAGAAATGGGAGTTGGGATTTAGGGGAGAGGTGTGAGCATTTTTAAGGTAGGAAGTACTAAAATCATGTTTTTTCCTGATGGGCCGGATCTTCCAGGAAGGGAGATTGAAGATACACTAGAAAGAGAAGGAAATCAAATGTAGCGTGAGATCTCTGAGAAGGGGCCGGGGGAGAGGAGACGCGTACAGAGTGTATATAAATGTGATTTTCGCTTTGGTATTGAAACCGCATATGGAGATGCGCTGTTCCATTCCCCAGTAAAGAGAGACTGAGGATGCTGTGACTGGGATGGGGTGGGAGGAAAGGAGTCCGCTTCTAGGGGTTGGTGGGTTGGGGTCACCCCGAAAGACCAGACAGGTCCCTGCCTGAGAGGACTTTGGCAAAATGCTGTCCTTAGGGAAGGCAGGTTTCAGGGGAGGCAGGGCTGTGCAGGGAGTGTTGGAGGAAAGGTCAGGCAGTTGGGCAGTTTGCAGCTCCTGAAGGAAGACTGTTGGGCTCTAGAACGGAAGAGTTGGGGTGTGAAAAGATGCTGAGCTAGAGTGCAGGGTCACTCAGGTGACAATACATGGTTGGGGTTTGGGACGTAGGGCCTCACAGGTGGCGTTTTCCAGGTTAAAATTTGAATCTAGTGAGGATTTCATTACCTTCAGTGGTACAATAGATCATTGTAACCCTAGAGCTGTAGGGCTTTAAGGGGTCTTGAGATGTAAACTTTTTCTTTTTAAGCTGATTGATAGCTATTCTTTTTTTTTTTTTCCTCCCCTTTGGTCTTAAAGATTCTTCCCTTGGATAGAGAGGATTGAACTTGTGTTGGAAAATCTTTGCATTTTGTTTAGCTTTTTCTGAAGCCTGTTTTACGTCTGTGTTGATCTTAGTTCTTTAGAGTAATAAGTAACTTGACATGTCATATAAATTTTCATTTTATTATATTGCAAAAATAAAACACTGTAAATATATACAATTGCAGTTAAGATTGCATGACATCTCTATCCAGATCTTTTTGGCTAGTGTCTCTTGCATTATCAGATAACCCTTCCAGTCAAGAAATGATATAGTCTTGCCTTTAAGTTCTTCACAGTTTGTTAGATTTACTGTTGTAACATAGTAAGCAGACAGAAGGGCAGGGAGCTCAGACTTCAAAAGCTTTCAGAATCAACACTCCCTTTTATTAACAATAGCAAGTATTTCTGTGGGCAAATTGCATTTGGTTGTTTACTTAAACAAATTAAGTTAATGGTTCAAATATAAAAGAACATAATAAAAAAAGAGAACATAATGGGAAATAATATGAATGGGTAATTTTAATAAGCTTTGCTAGTAGATGGAGTGTATGTCTGTCTGTTTTATAAGTTTATTAAATGTTAGCTACATAAGAATTTCTCACAATTTAGTTTCAAGTTCTGCTTATTTGTGTAAATTTCCAGCCAATTTTTCATGCTGAGGTTATTTATGATGTCAAATGAGAAAAATCAACTTGATGCACTTTTGATGCCAAGTTTTTTTGGAAAGCTACCATGTAATTTCTTCTCTGCTTGAACATTTTGGATTTTAGGGTGCTGAAAACTGCTTGGAAGGCCTTACATTTGTTATCACAGGAGTGCTGGAGTCCATTGAGCGAGAGGAAGCCAAGTCTCTAATTGAACGTTATGGGGGGAAGGTGACAGGAAATGTCAGCAAGAAAACAAACTACCTTGTCATGGGTCGTGACAGCGGACAGTCCAAGAGTGACAAGGTACGTCCTGCTGTGCTTTGCACACAGTGATAGCCAGCTTGCCTTGTGATGTGACTGTTTGTGGTGATATCCTTTCCACAGAAGAGAAAAAGAGTGGAAAAGGAACTTTGTTTTTACATTATTTCTTCTCAACATCAAGTGTTGACTTTGCCCCCGGGATTGTGGTTTTCCAATTGAAGGCACAGTGCCTGCTAACTTGACTTTCTTTTAGTTTAAATCTTTTTTTTCCCTAAGGATAGAAATGAACGCAATCTTTTTTCCTTCTAGTTCTTTGTATTCTTATATATGTCATGATGTATTCCATCTTTTATTTATTTATTAATCTTATTGAGTTTATTGGTACTTTTAAAGTATGCAGTACAGTTAACATTCGTCATTGAGATCTGTACCCATCTTGTTTTTAATAGGAAGCTCTAAGGGGAAGAGTCAGAGGTCTGTTGGGTAGAATGTTTAGTTTCAAGTGACGGAATATTCAGCCAACCATGATTTATATAAACTGCTGGTTATTGTCCTCACCTAACAAGAATGCCAGAGGCAAACAGTAGCTGGGATAATGGAGCTAAATGAGTCCTGTCTTCCCCTTCTGTCATGTGTCTTGTGCTAGCTTTAATCCTCACTTTCTCAATTGTGATAGAAACCTACCCAGCCTTTACTTGCTTTAGGAAAAAGTGTTGGCTCCCGGGGCTAAACTATGAGGAAGGTGGGTCTTGGCCTAGAAACTCTTGGATCTGGAAACTTCAATGCTTTCAGAACGCTTTTCTTTTCTGTATCTGTTTCTCCTGGTGTCGTCCTCATTCGTTCTGCCTGAGTACCTACCTGCCTTTTCCACGTAAGGGATGCAGCAGTGCCGTCATGTTGCCTGCAGTTGCAGGCTTGCTGCCTGCACTCAAGTCAGAGAAAGGGAGCAGTGACAAGATGTCATAATAGCTGTGATGACTGACAGTGTTCTCCCTTAACCCCTCTTGTAGAATTCCACTTACATTCATTGGCGAGAGCTGTATGTGGGCATTTAAAGCATAAGGAGGTTGGGGAGAAGCAGAACTTCTCTGATTGCCTTACACAGTCAGAGCCAGTCACTTGGAAAGAACAAGGCGATGGAAAATATCTCCTGAACTGAGTTAACATAGGAAAAGGGTGTGAGGAGAGGGCTTAGGTGCTTGGTTTTGTCCTTTTCTAAGCAATCCACAAAAGCAGTAATATGGCACTATAGCTGCCAACCTAGCAGTCTTAGGGAGTGTGTCTGCCATTTTCTTCCTTTTGGTACTGGCGATCGAACTCGGGTCCTTGAGGTTTTCTTCTTTTTAATGGTACTTTTCCAGAGAAATTTTTAAAAAAATTCCAGTGATATTTAATTTATAAATGTTGCTTTTCGCTTACTAGTAGGCCTTAGAATTATTATTTTTTCTTTGCAGAAAGGAATGTTAAGATTCAGTTTTGTTAATTTGCATTTTTAATCCATAGGCAGCAGCCTTGGGGACAAAAATTATTGATGAAGATGGCCTATTGAATCTGATTCGAACTATGCCAGGCAAGAAGTCCAAGTATGAAGTAGCAATTGAAGCTGAGGTTTGTATAAAATAAACTTGATTTATATAAGTTGGAGTACAGAAACTTTCCCACTTCATGGAACCATAGCTTGGGTGGGTGTAGCTCCATTGGCTAGAAGATTAACCACCCCTTCTACCACAAATTATCTTACCATATTTCTTTTTGACTGGAAGACTTTGCTTTAGGATGTCGTCTTTGTTGTGTTTCCTTACTTTTCACAAAACAATAGTGGGGGGTGTAGGGGTTATGGGGAAGGAGACAGTGTATTGCCCATCTCTACTTACTAAACTTTCTAAGGAAAGATATAAATATCCCATATTCTTACACAATTCTTACATACTCTTTAACACAAAGGTACGTCTTTGAGTTCTTTAAAGGATATGTGGTAGGTATCAGGATGATAAATTTTATTAGGACTGTCTCAGTTTTCATAGAAATCCAGTCTATATTGGCTTTAGCAAGTATGAAAAAATGAAACATTAGCTTATATAGCTAAGCTGCGAGCAGAAGTTTTTGTCTAGAAACTTCTGTATCTAGAGACCAGAATATTTTCAGAATCCTTTCATTTCATCTTTCTGCTTTTAGTGTTAGCCTCATTGATGCTAACTGTATGCCTCTCTCTTCCACATTTAGGACGCAGGTGTGTCAGCGTCCCAAGAGTAATGTCTCCACCGTGTCATCAGAGTGGCGGGGTGGCCCACCCAGTTTATTCTAGTTAGAAAAATCTTACGACATGATTTGTGTTACCTAAACATAGTAAAGTGGTAAAAAACAGGAAATTAACAGTGATACCGCATTGTAAACCACATGTATTAGTTACACTTCACATTGTCCCGGTTGTCCTTTTCTGTTCCAAGATCCCACACTCCATCGAGTTGCTGTCCAATCTATGACAGTCCTTCTCTAGTCTGTGATAGTTCTTGAGCTTTTCCTTGGCTTTTTCTGACCTTGACACTTTTGATGAGAATGGGTTGTTTTGTATACTTGTCTCTCCCTTGGGGTTTATTTAATGTTTTCTCATGATTATATTGAAGCTGTGCATCTTTGGCAAGAATACCACAGGAGTGGGCTGGGGATTTAGCTCAGTGGTTCCACTGCCTGTCTCGAAAGCACAAGGTCCTGAGTTCGATCCCTGGTACCCCCCACCCCCCAAAAAAACCACACACACACACACACACACACAGAGGAGTGATATTGTGTCCTCAGTGCATTGTAGGCACCTGATGTTGACATCCATGTCTTATTTGACTACTTGGTTAAGGTGGTATCTGTTGGGTTTCTTTACTAGCAAAGTGATGAGTTTTCTCTTTGTAATTGATTACCTTCTGGAACAAATACTTAAGATGATGCCATTATCCCGTTTCTCTTTAAACATCCATCCACAAGCTTTAGCATCCACTAGCAGAGACAGCTTACATATTTAGAAATTGAGGTGTTATTCATATGCCATAAATTTCATCCTTTTAAGATGTATAAGTCAGTATGCTCATAAGCATGTGTAACCATCAGCACTATCTAATCTAGAACATTGTTACCCTGCCCATCCTATTCTCATTTGCAGTCCCTCATCATACCCACCCCTGGCAATCACTGCTGCACTTCCTTTCTCTGGATTTGCCTATTCTGGACATTTTGTAATATGATTATGCAATACGTGTGGCCTCTTGTGTCTGGCTTCTTTGACGCAGCATGATGCTAACCTATGTTGTACCATGTATTAGGGCTTCACTTCTAATGGGCCATTGTGTGGACACACATACCACATTTTATCCATTTGTTTTTCACCAACAGTAGGGTCCATTGCGAGAAGACCAGTCCAGGTTGAGATTATGCAGATCTCAGGTTGACCTCAGGTGGTCATTTAGCAGAATAGAAGTTCTCTGGGTCTCATCAGATTTCTTTCTTTTTTTTTGGTACTGGGGATCGAACTTGGGTCCTTGGGCTTGTGAGGCAGTTGGCGGAACCATGGAGGTGGCTGAAACACTGAGCCAAATCCCCGGCCCTATCAGATTTTTTTTCCTCTTACTTTTCCAATTAAGATGGAGAAAGGAAAGTCCAAATTGGAGAGAACGCCTCAAAAAAATAACCAAGGAAAAAGAAAAATTATTCCAAACAAGAAGGAATCAGAATCTAAAAAGATCAAGCATACTCCTAAAAGAGACAGCTCTACAAAGACAATGAAAAAGGAAACAGAGGTAACAGATGTGTTTCGGAGAGGCCTGGACTTCAAGGAGCAGCAAGTTGCCAAGGAGACAAATGGTGACAGCAGGCCTAGGGAGCTGGCTGATGAGAGCAGTGAAAGCAAAGTGGACAGCTTGCTGTGGGTGGATAAATATAAGCCAACCTCACTCAAGACCATCATTGGACAGCAGGGTGACCAGAGCTGTGCCAACAAACTGCTCCGCTGGCTCCGAAACTGGCACAAAAGTTCTCCCGATGAGAAAAAACATGGTGATTTTATAACTTTACTCATTTCTGTGTGTCTGTCAACATGTAATTGCTCATACACACACGTATGAGAGGTAAATGGTCTATTTGTTCATCTGTCAACCAGCATTTATTAGGAGCTTGCTCTCTTCCCCATGCTGGTGGGCTGAGTGGAAACCATTTCTCATGACTGTGGAGCATGCACTGAGTCTGTGTGTGAATCCACGTGGTGGGGGAAGAAGAGCGTTGTGCTGTGCAGACAGTGGTGCACATAACATCTTCATTGCCTGCTCATCAGGTAGCCGATGCTGCTTATTAACATTTATTGAGACTTACGCACCAGGCTTGTCATCTTTACAGCACCCACGCCAGCTGCTGTACTGTTGGTCCTCATTTTACAAGGGAAGAGTCAGGTGAAGAGGGGTTAAGTCTGGACTAAAGCACTCCAGCTCGGGGCAGGTGGAGGCAGTTTTGAGTCCTGGCAGAGTATGCTCTGTGGCCTGTGCTTTTGTAGGAAAGGAGTATCACAAATTTCTTGTTTCACATCAGAGTTTGAAAAGGAGTTAATTTTAGTTTTTTGTTTTGGGCAGAGATGAGATACTCAGCAGAAAACTGTTGTTTAACAGTCAGGTGTGGTGGTGCATGCCTGTAATCCTAGCACTCGGGAGGCTGAGGCAGGAGCATCACTGTGAGTTTGAGACCAGCCTGGACTACATAGGGAGTTCCAGGTCAGTCGCAACCACATAGTGAAACCCTGTCTTTGAAGAAAAAAGAAAAAGAAAAAGAAAACTGATGTTTATAATTTGTAGAAAATATTCTGCAAGGGCCAGGGATTTAGCTCAGTGGTTCTGGCTCCTGCTTCACAGGCACAAGGACCCGAGTTCAATCCCTGGTAACAAAAAAACAAACAAAAAAAACTTTTTAAATTTAAGACTAAATGGAAGGCTTCCTCTCTCTGGGAGGTTAAGGCACGATTCTACTATTCCTGAATTTCTGGTAGCTAATACAGGTGTAACACTCCAAAACTTCTTTTTCTCTAGCAGCGAAGTTTGGTAAATTTGCCGGCAAAGATGATGGCTCTAGTTTTAAAGCAGCACTGCTCTCAGGCCCTCCAGGTGTTGGCAAGACTACCACGGCTTCTCTTGTATGTCAGGTGGGTGCTCAGTCATGTGTTTGGAAAGATAACCCCTGAGTGGTAATGTGTAGGGGAAATGCTTGCATGTATGTGAGAGTATGCATGTGATGTGTGCGTGTAAACCTGCCCTGTATATTTTTCTAAAATTGAACTTCTAAGGAATTGCTTTTGTCCTGGTGATATTTGTCATTTTCATTCTTTTAAAAATGTTGCCTGTTATATTGGTTATTACCATACATTGCTCTTTTATCCATGGGGGCTACATTTCAAGATCCCCAGTGAATTCTTGAAGTTGCAGATAGTACTGAATGTTAGACACACACACACACACACACACACACTTTTTTCCTATGTGCCCTACTGCATTGCCACATTCTACCAAAGTTAATCTGTCTTTCCATGTTCCATGTTTTATTATCTGGTTCCTTTTTTGCATCACTTCTGTTGCTCTTTGGAGCTGTCATTAAGTAAAATAACACAAACATTGCGATATTATACCAGTTGCTTTGATAACCAAGACAGGTATTAATGACTAATGGGCAGTGAATTGGTCAGCTCCCCATTGCTGGTACTCAGTAGCCATCACCCACAACTTAAAGGAGGAGAGGTTTAATTTGGCTCACAGTTAGAAGAATTCAGTCCATGATTATCTGGCTTCAACATAGAAACATAGTAGAAGGCCTTGAAGGAAAATTACTTAGAAGGCAGCTTGGAAACAGAGAAAAGGGAGGAACCAGGGAGGGAGGCATACCCTGCAAAGGTACACCTCCTCTGGTACACCTGCTCTATCCAGGCCCCACCTCCAGCACATTTACCTGTGAACTCATCAAAGAATCAGTGCACTTAGTGCATGTAGCACCCTCCTGATCCAGTCATCTTTCAGAGGCCTGACCTCTGGACACATTTGCCTCTGGGGGACATTCTAGATCTAACCTATATAGGTAGGCAGTGTATCCCTGCTGCATATGTGAGCAAGGGATTGATTTACATCCTGGGGTGGATGGAGCAAGTCAGTGTGAGATTTCATTATGCGCTTCAGGATAGCGTGCAGGTTCAAACTTTCAGATTGTTTACTTATGGAATTTCCATGTGATGTTTTCAGACTGTGGTTGATTAAGGGTAACTGAAACCTCGTAAAGAGAAAGCGTGGAGAAAGGCAGACCACTGTGATAGATAATGTATGCCTGTGAGCCAGTGTGCTAAGCACTTAGTGTAATATCCTACAGATACAGGCTGAACATCCCTAATACAAAAATCTGAAATATAGAATACTCAACCCAAAACTTTTTGTGTGTCATGTTGATACTGGGATTCTTGAGCATTTTGGATTTTATATTTTTGGGTTAGGGACACTCACCAGTAAAGTCTGTACACATATTCCAAAATCCAAAAATTCTGAAACCTGAATATGTCAGGTTCCAAGCATTTCAAAGAAAGGATACTCAACCAGTATTAGAAATATGTTACAGATTTTCTCATGCCTTCATCATTATTCTGTGTGCTAAATATATATATCCTGTTGTCATGCTTATGTGGCACATGGAATACTTTGAGCCTTGGTCATCTGACTGGGGTTTCTCTCTTCACTACTCTTAATTCTGCCTTTGAGATTCTATTCCTGCTGGATCTCTAGACAATGAAGACCTGATTTGCTGTAGTACCCAACAAATCAGAGCTCATGGGTTCTTATCCAAATATGGGATTAAATATATTGCTGGATTTCCAGTCCTCTATTATATAATAAAGTTGATGGTTTCTCATCTTTGTTGTATAGATCAGAGGATGAAATTTAAGTATAAAATTTCATGCATTTTTGCAGTATTTATAAAGACAAAATGATATTTTTTTCATAGTCCCTACATTGGTGAACGTAACTTTTCCTTTTTGTTATCATTGGTTTGTTGGTAATTGAAAAAACTAAAAGCATTTAAAAAACTGAGTAATTTTAGACAGTGAATTAGTATTAACTTCAGTTTTCCTAATTACAGAGGAAAGTTACATGTTGGGATAATCTGACAAAGAATAACTTAATTTTATAGTTTATTTTGGACAAATAAGAATTACATTTCAGATTTTATGGTAGATTAATTCTGTATCTGATATTGAATCTTGGAATTATTTTTAACTTGTTTTAGGAATTTAAGAAGCAAACTTGGTAACATTCTTTGCTAAGTATATTCTTCCAGATTAGTGATTTACCAATTCAGGTTTTAAGATAAAACTTTTATGTGTATTGCTGTATGTATGTATGATATTTTAAAGATTTGGAGTATTGAGAGGCATACTAAGGTTAAACTTGTTAGTGTCACTATATATATAGGTATCATATATATTGTGTATAATTACACCCATCTATCTGTCTGTCCTTTCCTATCTGTCTGTCTGTCTGTCTATCTATCTATCTATATTTTTTTTTGTACCAGGAAATTGAACATAGGACCTTGAGCTTGCCAGGCAGGTGTGGTGCCACTGAGTTAAATCCCTGGCCCCATACTTTTTTTTGTTGTTGTTTTTTTGAGACAGGGTCTCACTATGTAGTTGAGACTGACCTGGAACTCACTATGTAGCCCAGGCTGGTCTCGAACTCACAGTGATCCTCCTGCCTCAGCCTCCCGAGTGCTGGGATTACAGGCGTGTGCCACCACGCCCAGCCATACTTTATATTTTTACTAAGGGTTTTTAATGTGATTTCTAAATTCTCTTAACAGGTCTTTCTTTTGGAGGGAGGGGAGTAAATCTACATTGTGATCATTATGATTCCCAATATATATATATTTTTTTCCAATATTTTGATTAGGAATTGGGATATAGTTATGTGGAACTAAACGCAAGTGACACGCGGAGTAAGAACAGTTTGAAGGTGATTGTTGCTGAGTCACTGAATAATACCAGCATCAAAGGCTTTTATTCAAGTATGTGTCTTTTTGAATTGCTGTGGTTTTAATATATTCATTTCAATGTTCTGTAATCGATATTGAATAGTAATAAGCTAAATGCAGCTGCCAAGAAAATAAGGAAGGCCTCTGACATAACTCAGACCATTTTTAGGCTTAAGGCTTTCTGAGAATGTGATAAAAAGGTGTACATACACATATTTTTTCCTTTTGCATAAGATGTTAGAGGTTCACAAGTATAAAGAAGGAAGATTAATACAGTGCAATGTGATGAGTGAGGTAATGAAGTGTGACATGAGAAGGAAATTGTGTTTGGGCCGTTGGGCAAGCTGCTGCTAAAAGGGTAATGTTTGTTTGAAAGGCAGTGAAGAGAGAGACAGACAGTGCATCTTAGGCAAAAGTATGGAAGAGATGAAGAGTTACTACGTTTCAGGTTGTAGCTGGTGGTCCAGAAAACAAATATGAAGGTGCTCAAACTAAAGACTAAATTGAATCTGTTTAAAGCCTAGGGTATATTGTTTGGTTACCTGAATTCTTGGTGCTTTCAATAGTAGAAAATGACTGTTGCTCAAGCAATGTTAAGTTTCATGCACGGTTAGTGGGAATGTAATTGGTACAACTCTGGAGAGTAGTAAGGGGGTGTTTCTCAGTTATATATGTATACATGTGCAGAATGACGTATACATATAGGATGTTTATCACAGCAAAAGCTCGGAAGCATCTTAATATATCTTCCATATGCAGTGATTAAATTATGATTCATACATAAAGTGGAATATTGAGTTGTAAGTGAAGTGTTTTATGTTACAGATAAGGAACAAATCACCAAAATATATTAAGTGACAAAATCAAGATGTGTATTTGTATGCACACATATCTTTAATATGTATAGAGTACTTATAAGATGTACTTTGAGGTCTCTCAAAGGACATGCAGGAAACTCTGGGGTGGGGCGCGGAGATTTGTCTCAGTGGTTCTGTCACCTGCCTCGCAAGCACAAGGGCCTGAGTTCGATCCCTGGTACAAAGAAAAGAGAGATGGGATATTTATGGTGATGTCGCGCCGGCTGGGGCCTCCAAGCAACTGGAAAATGGCCTGTGTTTGATAGGTGGACTCACACCAGTGAGCTGCAGCATGGCATCAGCCCACACTGTCACTCAGAATGGTGTTGCTTCTGCAGTTTTCCCAGAAATCCCAGTATCTGATCTGATAGCGTGAAGTGTGAGTAAAGTACAGCAGAAAGTAATCCAATAAAAACAATACATTAAAAAAAGAAAGAAAGAAAATGGGAGACGCCGCATGCAGAAGGGTTGGGAGAATTTTTTGCTGCTTGCTCTTACAGCTTTTGAAGTTGAAAATGTGTTACAACTTTTCCATAAAGTAGCAGTTTTTGAACAGTGTCATTTTTGTTTTTGTCCTGTGCTGTTGCTTCTCCCGCTGGGTCAGGTGGAGCAGCAGCTTCAGTAAGCACAAAGCACGCTCTCATCATGGACGAAGTGGACGGCATGGCGGGCACTGAGGACAGGGGAGGGATTCAGGTAAGGAGTGGTGTATTTATGTGCTGCTAGTTTTACTGTTTGGCTTTGTCAGGGTATTGCTGTGTAGTTCAGGCTGGCCTTGAACTTTTAGCAATCCTCCTTCCTCAGCCTGCCGTGTGCTGGGATTGCAGGCGTGTACCACTGCTGGCACCAGTTTTATTGTTGACAGGTTTTAAAAATTATTTAATTTTCACACACTGATATTTATGGCAATTCAGGTGTATTGTTGAGGTTTTTAAAACCTAGAAATACATTGTGGGTGCCTTTTATTTTTTAAATAATTTTGTTATAAATTTGCCTTTTAGGAATTAATTGGCCTGATAAAACATACTAAAATTCCCATTATTTGTATGTGCAATGATAGAAATCATCCTAAGATTCGCTCTTTGGTTCATTATTGTTTCGATCTTCGTTTTCCAAGACCTCGAGTTGAACAGATTAAGGTATGATAGTTGAAAAAAAGTAAAAAAAAAAAAAAAAAAATCACACTATCCGATTTATTTAAAAGATCAGTTTTTTAAAAATCACTAAAGATTCCTCTTGTCAATTTCAGGGTGCTATGATGTCTATTGCATTTAAAGAGGGTTTAAGGATTCCCCCTCCAGCTATGAATGAAATAATCTTGGGAGCCAATCAAGATATCAGACAGGTAAATTACTGTTATGTGACAGTTGTTGATTCTTTAGAATATGTCTTCCACCTTGTGGGAGGGGAACAGTAGTACTTCCTCATTTTGACATTGTTTTGTTTGTGATTATTTTAGGTTTTACACAATCTGAGTATGTGGTGTGCACGAAGTAAAGCTCTAACGTATGACCAGGCCAAGGCTGATTCTCATCGGGCCAAGAAGGATATCAAGCTGGTAAAGTGCATTTCCCTTTCCTAGTTACTTTCCAGGCCCAGACACTTCTTGTTCTGTAGACACTGGCTTAAAATCAGTCTCCTTCTGGAGCCAGTGGATATTTATCAAACCTCTAGATGGCTGCTAATGCAAATGAATTTTTCCTCAAGAATTGTCAAATGTCTATTATAAATTTTGGGAAAGAGGTAAGTTTTAAATTACACTTGTTTCCAAAGTTACACAGTGGTTTTTCTCAATTCCCTTATTTGGTTTTCATAGTTTGAATGGTTGTGTACTGACTGGAGTAATCTGTTTCAAATAGTTTAACCATTCTGAAAGTAGAGGTCTATATCAATTATCTTTGTTCCCCTGGTACTAATCAGAATTTTTGTTTTCAGAATTTATTATTATACTCAAAGCAATGATTATTTTTTTTAAAAAAGTTAATATACTATTTTTTGAGCATTTTTAGATTCGTAGAAAAATTGAGTGGACAGTACAGAAATTCCCCAAATATCCGCTACCTCCCCGCAAGTGTTCATCGCCCTTCCTACCACCAGCACCCCCTCCTCCAGTGGTGCATTGTTGCAATTGGTAAACCTACCTGGGATGCATCATGTAACTGAGTACACAGTTGACATTAGGGTTCATTCTTAGTGTTGCACATTGTGTGGTTTTGGACAAATGGACAGTGACATTTATCCATCATTGTAGAATCAGAGTAGTTTCTCTGCCCCCCAAATCCTCTGTTCTGGTTCCTCATTTCTCCTGCCTCTTTACATCTTGTCAACCATTGATCTTTTTCCTGTCTCCACAGTTTAGCTCTTTCCAGAATGTAATATATTTTTAATCATACAGTGTACAGTCTTTAGAGGTTCGCTTCTTTTACCCAGTAATGTGTGCTTATGGACCGGGGATTTAGCTCAGTGGTTCCACTGCCTACCTTGCAATTGCAAGGTCCTGAATTTGATCCCCAGTACCCGCCCCAAAAAAAGAATGCAAAAGTAGTATGTGCTTAAGACTCCTTCATGTCTTTTCGTGGCTTGATAGCTTTAAAAAAAAAATTGTCGAGTAATTTTCTGTTGACTGGATATACCAGTAAGTTTATCACTTACTGAGGGACATCTTGGTCACTTTCAAGTTTTGGCAGTAATAAATAAAGCTGCTGTAAACATTTGTATGTAGGCTTTTTTTGGTGGGGTAGGCTTTTCTGAGTAGCCCAGGCTAACCTCAAATTCACAGTATTCCTCAGCCTCCTGCCTCAGCCTCCAAAGTGCTGGGATTACAGGTGTGCACCACCACACCCAGTTTGTATGTAAGTTTTTGTGTGGACGTTTTTCAGTTTATTTGGGTAAATACTAAGTTTTGTAGGAATCTGGTAAACTGTCTTCCAAAGGGGCTGTACCATTCCCTCCAGCAGCAGTGAGAGTTGTCCCCCACCCCCACCCCTCCATTGGTTGCTCAGTGTTTTGGACTGATTTTGGTCTTTCTAATAGATTTGTCTCTTCCTCTTTTCAGGGCCCTTTTGATGTTGCCCGGAAAGTATTCGCAGCTGGAGAGGAGACTGCTCATATGTCGCTGATGGACAAATCGGATCTCTTTTTTCATGACTATTCAATTGCACCCCTCTTTGTCCAGGAGAACTACCTCCATGTAAAGCCCGTAGCTGCAGGGTGAGCACTCAGACATGTGAAGAGGATTACCACCCTCCCAGCACTGAAGGCCAAACGCTTGGCGGGGAGCAGCCAGGGCTGTGGTAGCGGTAGAATGCAGTCCGGTTCTTTCTTGCAGGGGTGACATGAAAAAGCACTTGATGCTCTTGAGCCGAGCAGCAGATAGCATATGTGACGGGGACCTAGTGGACAGCCAGATCCGGAGCAAGCAGAATTGGAGTCTTCTGCCCACACAGGTAACCTGAGGGCTTGCCTCAAAGTGCAGATGCTGCTTTGGCTGAAGAGATCAAAATATCTTTTGGCTCCTGTAATTACTTAAAATATCGGATGAGCATTGTGTCGTTCATGGCAGAATAACCCCCCAAAAAACAAAAACTTAGGCTCTTGTAGACAAAAATATCCTGTGGTCAGTTTATTAATCTTGCCTTATTTTTCCAGTGTTTCAAAATAATAGTTTTGTTTAAATGGATAATATGAGAGTAGGAAGGCTAGATGTTGCCTGGAATGAAAGATGTGATTTGAAAGTTTGATTTGCTGGGTTTTACCTTAATCCATTTTCTTTCTGTCATTTGTGGTCCTCCTAGAGGGTCATTGGATAGCTAAATGCAGCCAGGGAAGTCTCTGAGTTTCTTCTTTGCTAAAGGAAACCAGAACGCCTATATTACATTGAGTACCTCATTTATAGTGGGTACTGTGTTTATGTTGGTATCTTCAAGTGAAAACAGAATCTGGCAGACAGTTATATTTTGGAGTGTTGTTTAGTTTTCGTATTTATATAGTATTAGTGGCTTGAGGATAAGCAAGGAATTTTCAAAAGGCCTACCTTCTTAATTTTACCTACACATTGGTTCAAAACAAAAGCAAAAACAAAATACAATGACTCATTCTGGAGATAAAGATTTTTTTATGTTTTAAGAATGTTTATTTTTCTTGGGCTGGGGATGTAGCTCAGCAGTAGAGTGCTTGCTTAGTGTGCAGAAAGTCCTGGGTTCGATCACACACAAAAACAGTCAAGCTTTAAAAAAAAATTTTTGTTACTTTAAGAATTGTCCCTGGCGCCGGGGATTTAGCTCAGTGGTTCTTCCGCCTGCCTTGTAAGCAGCACAAGGACCTGAGTTCAATCCCTGGTAACAACAACAAAAAAACAAAAACAAAGAATTGTTCCAAAAGAAATAATTTAAATAATTTAGGAAAAGCTTAATATATATAAATATTCCCTAAAGTACATTAATTCTCAGCAAAAAATTGGAGAAAATCTCCATGTCCAACAATAGGAAAAATGATTGTTATAGTAAATCCTCTTGGTGAAATATTTAGCACTGTTTAAAGTTATTTGTAGAGGTAATCTAATATGAAAAAGTACTTATGAGAGAATATTACTAGAACAGGATATAAAATTTGTGTAGAGTAAAATTTCAGCTTTTAAAAAAACAAAAACCAGCCAGGCGTGGTGGCGCACACCTGTAATCCCAGCACTCGGGAGGCTGAAGCAGGAGGATCACCTGCCTCAAGCTTGAGACCAGCCTGGGCTACATAGTAGTTACCAGTACATAGTGAGTTCGAGGGCAGTCTCAAGTACATAGTGAGACCCTGTCTCAAAAAACTAAAAACAGACAAACAAAAAAACAAACCCCAAAATACAACTTGGCCATAAAAGACATCGAAAGATACCTTTTAAAATTTTTCTCAAGGGCCAGAGAATTCTCTAATAATTAGACTTCATATTTTAAGCTCCCTGTGGTTTTAGCTGTGCATGTGAGTCAGTTGCATTTCTTTGAAGCTGATTCTGTGCTGTGATGTTGGCGTCCATGAGGTGGCGGAGGTGTTGCGATCTGCTGGTTGAGAATGAGAGATGGTTTCCTCATGTGACAGACATGATGCTACCTGTCAGAGATAGGATCTGCCTGCCCTGTAATTAGGTCCTCAGGGCAACAGTGCTTCATTTGCCATAGACCTTGAATTAGTTCGTTTTTGGTTGCTACTAATGCAGTACCACAGCCTGGTTAAGTTTTAATGAAGAGAGGTTTGTTTAGCTCAATTCTGAGAGTTCAGGGAACCACATGGCCAGGGGTGGATAAGCGTGTGTGCCTGTATTTGTGTAGTTTGTATGCTCGTGTGTATTCGATGTCTCCCCTCTTCTTTTTTTTTGAGACAGGGTGTTGATATGTTTTCCCGGCCTGCTTTAAATTCATGACCCTCCTGTTTCAGCTTCTCAAGTGTTGGCACTACAGGCACGTGCCACACCACACCTGGCTTCTGTTCCCTTCTAAAGCTACCAGCACTCTGTTATGGGGAGAGTTTGCCTTAATGACCTTACCTAACCCAGTTCACTTTACAAAGCCCCACATCCACACACTATAGGTGGATTAGGTTTCCAGCCCTCAGTGTCTTACAGCGGGATTAAATGACTACATCTAAAGCATAGCAGCCCCGTGGAAGCCGACGGCTGCTGCAGAGGAGACTGTACTGAACACAAATTCTGCGCTGCTGTTGATTTTGTTTTCCAGGCCATTTATGCCAGTGTTCTTCCTGGAGAGTTGATGAGGGGTTACATGACCCAGTTTCCCACCTTCCCAAGCTGGCTAGGGAAGCACTCGTCAACAGGCAGGCATGACCGAATTGTGCAGGACCTGGCATTGCACATGAGTCTTAGGTAAGCAGAGTCATTTCATCTACTATAGTAAGTAAACTGACCTAATCATTTGAGATGGGGAACACAGGATAGAACAGGAGGAGGCCACTCAGATCATGGGAAGAAAAATAATGTACTGGGAAAAGTGTGAAGAAACTCAGACAAATTTGTGTTTGGTATAATTCTGTTAAAGTTTAGAAACTTACAAAATGTGCATGCAGCAAATATTAAGTAAACTTTAAGGATTCAGGGCTGGGGACTTAGCTCAGTGGTTCCACCACCTGCCTTGCCAAGGACCCAAGTTCAATCCCCAGTACCAAAAAAAAAAAAAAAAACAAAAAAACTTTAAGGATTCATTTATGACCATGCAAACTACCCGAGCAATCATATTTCCACTTCTGATCCCTAGAATATTAATTCGGTACCCAAGATCCACATATAACTTTAGGTTAAAGCTGAGATAGTTCCTTTCTTCTTTTTGTAAAATTCTCCCCCCTGCTAAGTTCCTTCTTCTCAGCCTTTGGGATGAGTCTTTTTCCAACCATTGAGTTAGTTTTTTGTTGCTGTTGTAACGAATTTTCACAACAGAATGGCTTAAAACAATACAAATTCATTTTTGTCTTGAGATAGGAAGATGATCCTGGGTTATCTCAGTACGCCCAGTGTCATTGTCAAAGGGTCTTTATAAAGGGGAGGTGGCAGTGGCAGAGTCAGAATGGGGAGAGGGAAAGAGGGAACTAGGGAGAGGGGCAACCCTGCTGGCTTGGGAGATCAGGAGGGAACCATTAGCCAAGAAGGCAGGCAGCCCCTAGAAGCTGGGAGAAGCTTCTTCTCACCATTGCTCTTGGGTCCAGCTGGCACCTGCCTCTCAGCTCTTTCCTGTTCCTTGTTCACTGCTGTTTGAAGGTCATGCTCACTCCTAGGGGCACCCATCCTGTTGCCCAATTGTACTCCATGAAGATTTGGAGCCCTTGGCTTCTATATTGTTTGTGGCTGTCTTGTTTCCCCCAGACTGAACTTTCCTGGGGGTAGGAACTGAGGCTTACTCATCTGGCACATAAAATTGCTTTTAATGCTTTTAATTGCTTTTAATATACTGGGCATTATTATCAGCATGGATATAGATAGTGAAATTCATGATTTTTGGGGCAGGTTAATGTCTTAGTTACTTTCTTGTTGCTGGGCCGAAATACCCAATACTTACAAGTTAGAGGAGGAGAGATTTTTTTCTTTTTTTGGTCCCAGGGATCGAACTCGGGATCTTGCACTTGTGAGGCAGGTGGTAGAACCACTGAGCCAAATCTCTGGCCCTTGGAGAGATTTTTTTGAGCTCAGAGTTTATAGAAGTTTCAGCCCATAGGTGGCTGGCTCCAAGGCTAGGTGGCATGCCGAGGGGCACAGCAGAAGAGAAGACAGGCAGTTCATGATATGGCAGGCAGGAAGCAGAGATTCTTTCTGTTTTTATTCCACCCAGGCTACAAACCTATTTGTTATTGCCACCCACACTCAGGGTGTGTCTTCCCTCCTCAGTAAATCCATTACTCACATCCAGAACTATGCTAAACCCAACAGTGAACTCATCTAGTATTACTCCCATGACCCAGTCACCTCCCCAGATCCCCACCTGTGAGCACATGAGGCTTTAGATACAAGCCATAACAGTCGGGACTGTCCTACTTAACTTTTTTGTTTTCTTTTGTGATGCTAGCGATGGAATCCAGGGCTTTGTGCATGGTGGGCAAGGGCTGTACCACTGAGCTACATCCTTAGCCCTTTTTTGTTTTTTGTTTCTACTTCACTTTTTTTTTTTTGCTGTACCAGGGATTGAACTCAGGATCTTGCACTTGCAAGGCAGACAAAGTGCCACTGAGATAAATCCCTGGCCCCCTACTTAGCTAATCAAATCACTAATTTCTTGGGGGCCTTGGTTTCTCTGCGTCTTTGAAAAATAGAAATATGATTTTGATTTGTTTGGGGATTTGTAAGTGCCTTTGAAAAATCTGAAAGCTTTGATCTTGCTTCCTCCCAAAATGCACAATGCTTAAATAACACAATTTTAAAGCAATTACAGATTCCTGAAGTTAAGAATCCTTGCTTTAGGTATGCTTGAGACGTTACCAAATTCAGTGTTCTCTGTACGAGATAAAGTGCAATATACTGATTTTGGAACTGTTTTTGTGATCCTTGGTGCTGTGGCTTAGGGACTTACACTACATCTCTTCAAGTACTACTGTTCATGATGATGGAACACTATATAGGAAATGAGTGCGTAGGTAATAAAACAGTCTCGAATTCTAGATTTCTGATGGAGAAAGAATGGTATGGCTTCTCGAGGTTCAGTTACCCGAAGACAGGAGCAGGTGCTATAGGTTATTTTTTTTGGTACCAGTGATTGAAACTCAAGACCTTGTGGTTGCGAGGCAGGTGCAGCACCACTGAGCTAAATTCCTGGCCTTAGGTAATTTTTAGAGAAACTAGAGTAAGGGGTTCTGTTACCTGCAGCTTTTGAGGTATCTTGTTTAAAGTACGAATACATATTTTTGCCTGGATTGAAGATGGAGGCAACTAGGTTGAAAGGATAAAGGGAGAGAGAGAGGGAGGGAGGGAGGGAGAGAGAGAGAGAGCGAGAGAGAAAATGACAGTGCATTTCCTATTGACCTCTAGTTCTGAGCAGTCTGTTCCCTGTCTTCCCTTGGCCAAGGTGGATCATTTTGATTGTGCAGGAACATTGTCTGCTATTCTTTTAGGTTTGGGGAAGACTCTCCTCTTGAAGTGATGGTTTTAGAGTGTAGGTATCAGCAAGGTGAGCAAGGCACTCATAGACTCCGTTTTGCATGTTGTAATCCAAGACCAATAAGTGTTGTGTTTGTATTGGAAGTGGCGGTGGCGCTTGAAGTACTGATGCTTTTAGTGTTTTGGATGTTGGACTGCGTTCTCTTTATGTATGATAGATAAGAATGAGTACAGGAAACGCTGCTGTTGTCTGGGCCTTAAGAGAGAATGAAACCTTGAAGGAGGTAGCAGCCGTGTTTGCTTTTCCACTCACTGATCCAGGAAGGTAGGAAACGGTCTTGTGCAGGGTGGCGCATGCCCATTACCCCGAGGTGGTGTGCTGGGCTTCCCTACCAGCTGTTAAATCATAGGCTTCCACGGAGCATCACTCAACTTGGATTGAACACTGGCTGATGAATCAGTGTTGATGTGTGTGCTGGCTTGAATTGGCAACATAGTTTTACTGTTGACTGCAGGTGCATCTTTTGTTTCTGTTTTCAGGACTTACTCCAGCAAGAGGACTGTGAACATGGATTACCTCTCACACATAAGAGATGCACTTGTTCAGCCCTTGACTTCACAAGGGGTAGAAGGAGTACAGGATGTGGTTGCACTTATGGACACATATTATTTGATGAAAGAAGACTTTGAGAATATCATGGAAATTAGCAGCTGGGGTGGTAAACCCAGTCCTTTTTCCAAACTGGATCCCAAGGTGAGCTGTGTCTCCTGCTGCTTCTCAGTCACTTTGTGATGACCAGGTTTGGCTTAACAGTGCTGCAGGGTTGTTTCAGAGGCTTTAAAAATGGTTTACATCTTCCCCCCATAAATGCTTGTTGCTGTTCACAGCCTTTGCTTCCCCAAGGTAGTATTTGAGCCGGGCTTGGTGGTGCATGCCTGTAATCCCAGCACTCAGGAGGCTGAGGCAGGAGGATCGCTGTGAGTTCGAGACCAGCCTGAGCTACATAGTGAGCTCCAGGTCACTCTCAACTACATAGTGAGACCCTGTCTCAAAAAGCCAAAAAAAAGGGTAATATTCAAGTACAGTGAAGAGACAGTGCTGTAGGCCTGCCCTCACTAGACATAGTACCAAGCACCCACAGCTGAACGGAGCTCAGTCCGTGATAGGCAGGCTCCATGCAGAAACAGGATGGCAGAGAGGCATGGCAGCCAGGAAGTGGGGAGACGGAGGAGCAGGGGACAGGAATACACCTTTCCAGGTCAGGTGCCCAGTGACCTGATCTACAGGCCCCAACTACCAAGAGAAGTCAGCCATGAACTCATCAGTGCACTGATCCACTGACGACTATGACAGTCCTTTGATAGATCCAAACCGTAACAGCTGGCTGAGGCAGGAGGATAACGTGTTTGAGCCCAGCCTGGGCAACTTAGTGAGACCCTGTCTCAACATAAGAGGAGGAGAAGGAGAAGAGGGAGACAGAGGAAAGGTGGATTTCTAGATTTGACAATTTGTGTTTTTTTCTTGGCTTCATGCTGAATAGTGAAAAGGCAAGTCAAATCTGAGGAGCAAATATAATTAAGCTGGGGAAGTAAGAGTGAGGTGTGATGATAATGGGCTATAAAAATAATGATGTGTTTTCTGGCTGAGGACTTTTGCCATTTTTCTACCTAATCTGGATTCAGAATTAATTCCAGTTGGGTAACCTATTATGTAAAAGTGTGTCCCCTCTTGTATAACTAGAGTGACATAACATGAAGGTATAATATCCAGCATCTCATTCCTCGGCCAGTTTACTTGATTGATGCTGCTTTAGAGGACACATTGTCTGAGTTTCCTTTCTAGAATTTTGACCTGACTTAATGGGCATCAGTAAATTCTTACAGTAGACATCCATTGTTAGTTGTTCCCCGGGGGTGTAGAATTAGATTTGGAAGCTTGAAGTTAGAGCTTTGTAAGTTACTTAGATTTTGAGGTAACTGCTATTAATCACGGTAAAGGTAGCTTAGGTGTTTGGTAGTAAAGGCCAACTTGTACTTTATAATGAGTCTTTTGTTTTTTGATTTCTTGGACTGACTTTATTATTTTGTAGAAATGTGTAGAAATGTAGAATAGGTAAAAATATGACTTCAAGTGACTTTTTTTTTTGCTTACCTAAAGTTCTCAGGTACTGATTCTTAATATTTTTTGTACCATGGGCCTTATTAAGAATGTCATGAAAAATAAAGAACTCCTCCATAGAAAGTGCATAGGCAGTACTGCCCTGTATCTATCTGTACATGCATGAATATGTTGCAGATAGGCTTCCAGGCTTTTCTTTCAGAGTTTTTAGGGTTATAAGAGTTTCAAAGGTTTATGCAGGGCTGCTGATACAACTCAGGGATAAAGCACTTGCCTAGTGTGCATAGGTCCCTGGTTCAACCCCCAGCACTGGAAAAAAAAATGGTTTGGTACTTAAAAAGATTTTTCTCTCCCTCCACTCCCTGCATACAGGTGAAAGCGGCTTTCACAAGATCTTACAATAAGGAGGCCCACCTTACCCCATATTCACTTCAGGTGATAAAGACACCAAGATCCAGTACAGGCCCGATGCTGGATTCTGACTACAGTGAAGAGTCACACGAGGATGACTCCCAGCCGGACGAGAAGGACCACGGTGCTATAGAGACTGACGCTATGATCAAGGTAGTATTTGAAGCTACCGACAGGAGAACCTCAAAATAGACAGTCTTTATAAATAGCTTCTCCATAATAGTAGAAGAGTTAAATAGCAAGAACACAGGCCATCGTGTTGGTGCCATATGATCTGAAAGGAAAAGAATCATCTGTTTATTTGGATGTCAGCGTATGCTTCCTTATCCATAGCGTAAACTATTTCTTTAAACAAATGCACTTCTTCCTTCTCTTATTTGTGTTCGCTTTGGCCATTGAATTCCCTGCTGAAGTTGCTCGGAGCTAAACTTGCCCTTTCCTTGCTTTTTGCTGGGCAGACGAAACTCCTCACGTGAGCCCATTGTGTATGGCAGCCCAGGCAGGCCAGGCTGTGCCTTCCCCTCGCCTTTGCTCTCACTGTGGAGGTGCATTCCTAAGTGGTAGGCACCAGGCAGGGCAGGGCCCTTCCCAGTGTGGTGATCTCTTCTTACCTGAGAGTTTATCTCCCTGTCTCCTCTCCCCACTTCACAAAATGAATGTGTTTAGATCTCCAGCCTGAAACTAAAAGAAAAAGGAAATTCTTCATGTAAACATTACCATATTGGTAAATCATCTTTTTTTTTTTTTTTGTCTCTCCTAAAAATACCTAGATTCCAAATCCAAGAAATTGCCTTACATGGACAACAAACCTCCGTTCTAGATTCTAATGTTTGCAGTTTTTATAGATATCTTGTTAGCTCTGACGAGCTGAGTGTTAATTCTATTCATCAGAGGTAGTAGTCCACGATCCAGATATTTGTACACCTCTCCCCCCTTTAAATTAAGCTGCAGGTAAAGGTCTTTATCTATATTGTAGAGATTAGCTTATTTCATTTACTTATAAGCATGGCTATTAACTATTTTGTGCATCTTTTTCTCCCAATAGAAAAAGACAAAATCTTCAAAGCCCTCAAAAGCAGAAAAAGATAAGGAGTCCAAAAAAGGAAAAGGAAAAAGTTTTAAAAAATGAAACCATTTTCACTAGCAACAGCTGTGTCTTACCTCCTCCGTCTCGCTGTTTTTCCAGAGGAACCACATTTGGCATCATGGGATGACCTGGCGACTCCTTTGTACAGGGTGATACAGCTAGCAGTGTGTATCTGGAAGGCTCGCGTACACCTCTTATAGAGGTTGAGAGACTGCTTTGGTCTGCTACTGTTGCCTGCCAATCTAATTAGATTGTTGTGCTTTGGAATGACTGTATCTTATATCTAGAAACTACATATGGGCTTTGCAGTCAGATTTTAGTTTGCAGTAACAAACCTGGGAGCACTGTTACTAAGGCATCTTTTATAGCCTGAAGAAGTTACCCTCATGGCCTTTATTGGACCAGTGCTGATTTTTTTTTTTAGAAAGGTAGTTATTATGTGGTGAAATTTAGTAAATAAATCATAGTACAAAACAGTCACCACTAGAACTGGGTATTCTTTGTACATTGTCAGATATCTTGAAAAGTATAAATTAGGAATAAAAATGTTCCACGTGTACAAAATTTTCTAAAGATTATCATCTTGTGCAACTAAATGCCATGTTGGTATATTGCTTATTAATCTGCAGGAGATTGGATTAAAAAGCTCACTGTTCCTTACTAACCAGTTGTGTGAAACATTGGTAGTCAGAGTCAAGAGCTTGAAACCCAGCGTCGTTACCCCTGTGCTGACCTGGTCACTGCTGTGAGTACTTGTCATGGAGAGGCCTCGGGGACCCCAAGGGTGTAGAGACTGAAGAAGGGTTGCCAGGCTCTGGTCCTGGGCAGGCTCAGCTGTCAGGCCCAAACCAGTAGGCCTGAGGCAGGGTCCTATTCGGAGACTCTGGCCAGGCCAGGATGAACTCTGGCTTTTGTTTACTGTGCCTCTGGAGATTGAGTTCTGTCCTGTGATGGATTCCACAAGTCCTTCAGGCTCTGCCTATAATTATGCTTTGTGGAATGGCCCCAAGGCTGTAGATCTAGCCTGGAATTTAGAAGCTGAGCTGCCTTTTAATCTCAACAGTAAGTGCTCAGAGGTATGTGCTGCTTCTGGACGTAGACATCATGAAGAATGTAAGATAAGGATTGCATGCCCTCCCTTTAAGGACTAGATGTTTTGTTGGGGGATGAAACAAAGTTCTTGAGACATTTAAAATGTATTTACCAGTGTGAAAACTCATTCCTAGAGATCAGTGTATATGAAAATAAAATAAAATTGCCTCAAGCCTTTGCCCCTCTCTCAGTGAAAGCCGGGCTGCAGACTTGGCTGCTTCACGCAGGCGTGCTGACGTACCAGAGGGGCAGGTCCTGCCAACCCAGGTGCTCTGTACACTCCAGGACAGGGCCTGCAACCTCCTGGCAGCCAGAATGAGCAATGTCCTTTCTGTGTGTGTGATGATTCGAATTGTGAGTACTCTAAACAATGGCATAGTGTGTACAAGATAAATAGCATTTTAGAATTCGAAATCTGCTACTTAATGTATGAGGATGACAGTAGAGCAGTTTGACCCCCTTTGAAGGCCCCCTGACCGTGAGTGAATGGCTGAGGTGAGTGGCAGCTGGGAGATGGGTCGACAGCATTTGGATGTGACTCTCAGTGGTCCGTGTTGGGATTGAATCTTCACTGGTGCTCTAACAAAGTGGCCTTTTGGCGCCGTCCACTGCCACACATCGTCTTTCAACATAAAACTATGTGCTTTTTTTGAGATCCACTGACTCCTGGTCACTTTGATATCCCTGAAAGACTGTGCAACTTAGTCTTTCATTGTGTGAAATTCTTCAAGTCCTATAGCACCATCATTTGACCTCTTGAAGTTATAAACAAGGAGTAGATTGTTTTATGCACTAGAAAGAGTGTATCTTCCTAAACAAGTTCTGTTGGGTTGTGCTCATGGGTGAAAGTCTGAGGCCTGCAATTCACCCTCTCAGGAATGTGCTCACCCTCACAAGTTCCCAGTGCCTGTAGGGTTTGTACCCTACAGCCTTACAGCATCCCTCCAGTGATAGGATACAGGATGAAGCAGGGGACTGCATAGGTTTTGTGTTAATAACATGGATTGTACCACTCAGTAAGGCCAAGGCCTCAGGCCTGTTCTTGGGCCAGCCATTGGGAGGGAAGGACAGCTCATAAAGCCGAGGCTTCCTGCAAGTGCAGATACCTGGGTGCTATAAAATGCTGTATTATTGGCAGTTTGGGCCCTTGCCTCAGCTCATAAGTACCATTGTAATGCTCAGGTTGCTGGGACCCCAGTGTAAAATCATTATCTGATTCATGCAGTTTCATTTATGACTCATTTTTGCTGTTTACGAGTTTGGTGACAGTGGCTGTGGACAGCAAGGAAGCATATATTGGAGTTGCAGGATAGGCATCGATATCCTTGGAGCATGTGGTAGGGTGTGTGTGCGTGGAGCCTGAGGGAAGATTCCATATAGTGGGAGTTTTTTCTCAGGAAAATCAAATAAATTTTTTGAGGGTTACCGGGGATTGAACTTCGGCCCTTGGGCTTGAGAGGTAGGCAGCAGGAACCACTGAGCCAAATCCCTGGCCCTCAAATGATTTAATTTTTAATGGAAATTCCAGTGTGCAGTAGGATGACTCAGCAGATAATTAAGCTTATAATTTTATTCATTTCTTTTAAAAATAGATTTTACTGATTTTTGGTGTTTTGATTCTGCTAAATAGCCTTGACTTGTTTAAATTTATTTCAGTTTTTAACCCTTCTGACCTAGGTGTTACTTAAAACTTCACAAATGTGCTTCACAGTTATCTTTTGTCCTTTTTTTGGTCTCCAAATCCAAGAAAAAACATTGTTTAGTCAACAGTTTTATTTTAAAGTTGATATTTCAAAGTATAAAAGATATCAAAAAAGCTGAATATTTACAATTATAGATTAAGCACAGAGCATAGAATATGTCAGGTGTCGGAGAGGAGGTGAACAGAGTACACTAAATAGCAAGGCTACACGTCACTGCCGCGCCACTGTGGAGATGGATGTGCCGACCAAGGGAGGCCACCTTTGTGTTCTTCTGCATCCAGGAAGGACTGTCCCGGAATGCAGCGGGGGTGGAAGCTCAGCCTCTGGGACAGATGTGTCTTCCAGAAGCATCATCTCTAGAAAGGAGCAACAGATGTCTTTAGGAGGGTGTCAAGCGGGAACGCAGCATTCAGAATGGACATTTGCAGTCTGTAACCGGGACTGGGTCTCACTCCTGGCCGTGCACTCCCATGGGCTTGTAGGCCAGCTGCTGCCCCTTTACCATGAGGTACAGAAGGGCGCCGCCACCTCACTGGAAAGATTGAGCAGATGAAAGCTGAAGTGGTCAGCAAGCTAGAGAGCCTTTGTCTTGAAATTAAGGGCTCCTTGTCTAAATGCCAGTGAGCAGTAACTTTGACCAGGACTCACTATATTTATTAGCAGGCATTTGCTATGGCTGTTTCAGAAGATAGTGCATCACGGTAACTCACTGAGGGCACCTCTGCAGGGAGCTCAGATGTCCCATGGTTCGGGTCTTGCAGTTTCTTTAGAGGATTACCCATTTCACTGTTGGGAGAAGTCCTGTGGAGGTTTGTTAAAAGTAAACTTCCATTTTGGAAGTGACGAGAGATAAAATTTTCCTACAGACAATGATTATAAGCTTGGGACAAAATAAAATAGCTACTCAAAGGCATCAGAGAACAGCTAAAATAGGCAGAAATTGGAAAGGTGTGAGCCTTTCAAAGAAGCGGCAGGAGAACTCTGCTGGCTAAGGTTCCTATCCAGGTGGCTTTTCACTTGTTGGGGACAAGGCTACGAGGTGTGGGGCATGGGATGGTGAGAAGATAAGCAGTGAAATCAAGTCCTACAAGTGGAAGGAGTCGGGAGAGTCTGGCTGTTGGAGTGACGGAAATGTGTGAGGGGAGGGAATGCTGGGGAGAGGTGGCTCCACGTGTGCAAGCTTCACACAGATCCTTGAACTTTGCATTTGGAGAAGACTCACACAAAGCCCAGGAAAGCAATAGATCAAAGGCTGAATGAACTAAGAGTATTTTAACTGCTGGGCAGAGTTTGAGTTTAACTGCTGGTTGGAACAAAGTAAACATTTTGTAAAGGCAAATAGAATCTCAAGGTTCTATATCCATAATGTCTGGCATACAATAAAATAGTACTAAATGTGGGGTGGGAGCTGGGTGTATTGGTGCATGCCTGTAATCCCAGCATCAGGAGGCTGAGGCAGGAGGACTGCTGTGAGTTTGAGACCAGCCTGGACTACCTAATGAGTTCCAGGTCAGTCTTAACTTAAAAAACACAAAAAAAAAAAAAAAAAAAAAAAAAAAAAAAAAAAAAGTGGGGTGGGGCACAACAGGCAAATGTGACAATCAAGAAAAATCAAAAGAAAATAGTCTTGAGGGTCAGGGATTTAGCTCAGTGGCACCACGCCTGCCTCACAAGCACAAGGTTCTGAGTTTGATCCCTGGTACCAAAAAACAAAAACCAAAAAAAACAAAGATGACCGAGATTACTGATTGATTGGCTGTAATACGGATTGAACCCAGTAAGTGTTGAGCTATAGCTCAGCCCTCTAAATTTTCCTTTGAGACAGAGTATCACTAAATTGTCCTATTGCCCTAGGCTCATTTCACGTAGCTGGGATTACAGGCTATGCCACCATGTGCAGCTGATATACAAGTTGAAATAACAGCCAAGGACTTTGAAACAGCTTTTTTCCCCCTGCCCCTTTTCTATATATAGATTATTCACTGTGGGGAGCTGGTATATGTACATGTCAGATCTTAGTCCTTTTTACTTCACCCCCCCCCTCCTTCCATCTCTACAAAGTCTATCTCCTACTTACTATCGTCTGTTGCTCCTAAATTATGTATACTCTGGGTTTCCTATATAATAAAATGACTATTTTAAATATGTTCAAAGATGTAAAGGTGAATATAGTCAAAAGGAATGAGAGATGGGGGAACTCAGAAAACAAACTAAAGGCTGGGCATGGTGGCAAACACCTATAATCCCAGCACTTGGGAGGCTGAGGCAGGAGGATCGCTGCGAGTTTGAGACCAGCCTGGGCTGCATAGTGAGATCCGGCAGTCTGATACCTATAATCCCAGCACTTGGGAGGCTGAGGCAGGAGGATCGCTGCGAGTTTGAGACCAGCCTGGGCTGCATAGTGAGATCCAGGGCAGTCTGAACAACATAGTGGGACTCTGTCTCAAACAAAACAAACTAAACATGAATGTTCTAAAACAGAAAAGTACAAAATCTGAAGTAATTTTACTTAGAAGAAAGGTCAGCGAACTTGAAGACAGACCAAAAATTAATATGAAGAACAGAGGAAAAACATAAAAATGAAAGAATCCTAATGACCTGTGGATATCAAGGAGTCAAATACAGTCATGAGTTCTACCCTGAGAGACTAGAAATTCACAGAAAAATTTGATGGCACAAGGCTGCATTCTTTCTGACTGTATTGAGACTAGGTTTGGTCAAAAATTTGATGAAAAAATAGACAACCTAGAAAATCCCTATAATATAGTAAGTAATTGACCAAACCTACTCAGTACAGTCAGTAAGAAGTCTAAAAACTAAGAGAATGTTACATGCAGCCATAAAGAAAAGGGTACCAGAGAATGAGGGTGTTTGAAATTGGTGATGAGTACCTTGAAAGTGCTTTAAGAATAACCAGAATTCCATACCAAGTGAAAACATCTTTCAAAAATGAAATCGAGATATACTCACAGCAAATGTGTACTCCCCCACCCCCATTCAGTTTATTGGTACATTTAAGGCAAACAGTATAGTTAATGCATCTGGGATCTTGTACCTTTACATGATATATCTTGGTTCTTACTTTTGCCTCATTCCCCTGCCCTCCCTTTACCCCCTTCACCCTTCCCTAGCAAATGTGTTCTTGAAAGAAATGCCGGATGTAGGAAGTTCTTCAGGCTGAAAGGAAGTAATGCCAGTGGAAACCAGGATTCAGGAAAGCAAGGGCACGACAGGAATGGTAAATTGGTGGGTGAGTACAGATTACATCCATGTTTTTTCTTACAATTTCTTTTAAAAGTGTGACTGAAGAAAAATGCCTGGATATGGTGGCACATGCTTGTGATCCCAACTATACTCATGAGGCTGTGGCAGCAGGATACCAAGTTTGATGCCAGCTTAGGCAATTTAGTGAGTCTCTGTCTCAAAGTTTTTGAAAAGGGCTGGGGATATAGCTCAGTGGTAGACTGCTTCCCTTGTATAAGCAAAGCCTTGAGTTCAGTCCCCAGTACCTCCCCCTACCCTAGCACATGAAGAGAAAAATATCACTGTAGTGTAGGTTTATACTGTGTGTGCACGTATGTGTACATATGAAATAATATACTAACCAAGTAAAAGTTGGAAAGACACGTAGGTAAAAAGTCTATAGAGAAATGAAATACTAAAAAATGTGTGGAGGAGGAGGGCTGGGGATTTAACTCAGTGGTTTTGCTGTCTGTTTCACAAGTGCAAGGTCCAGAGTTCAATCCCCAGTACCAAAAAAAAAAGTGTTAAGGCAAGACAAGGGACAAAAAATCAAAAAGCAGCTAGGGCAAATAGAAAACAGGTAACAAAGCTGTATTCCTAAACTGAACCTGATAAAACAACTTGAAAAAATACAACAAGAAAATTGTAGACCAGTATCGTTTACAAATACACAGTATTTTCAGTATAATAATAAAACAATCCAGCAGTACATGAAAATGGATTATGATCAAGTATGTTTATCCCCTGAAAGTTGATTTTAATACTCAAAAATCAATATAACTTACCAAATCAACAGAATAAGGGAAAAAACTTACAGTCACTTCTCTTAATTGGTACAGAAAATTCATCTGACAAAATTTACTCTGCAAACTAGAATAAAAGAAAGCTGCTTTTTTTTTTTTTAACATAGAAGGCCTTTCTGAAAAATCTTACAAGTAAACATCACAGGAGTGAAATACTGAATGCCTTTCTCCAACATTGGGAACAAGTCAAGGGTGTGGACTTTACCCCTTTTATACTGTGCTGCACTGGGGAGCCTGAATGATGCGACAGACAGAAGGAAAAGAAGATATAAAAGGAAGAAAGTTTTGCTCTACTTGTAGACATGGTTATTTACCTAGAAAATCTTAAGGACTCTATTACAGCTACTAGACCTGAGTGAATTTACAAAGGTTGCAGGATGCAGGGTCAGTGTATAAGTCAGTTGCATTTTTCCATATAAACAAAAATGAAAAGAAATTAAATTCCATTTAGTACCAAACTCCCCAAGTTATCTATTCATAAATTGAAGAATTGAAAAAGATTAAAATTTAGAGATAATTTAGTAGATTGGTAGGTAAGTTTTGTTAAAGATATCAGTCCTCTTCAAAATGCCCTATGGAATCAGGGCAACTCTGGTAGGCAGAGTTCTAGGATGGTCCCCAAGATTCCCACAGCCAGTGCACACCACACATCTTGTGTATTTTCCTTGTAAGAGGGGAGGGCTGTGACTAAGATGTCATAGTATTAGCTTGTATCATCTGACAAGATGAAGGGTTTTACAGGTTGTGATTAAGGCTCACATTCACTGATTTGGAATTAATCAAAAGGAGCTCATTGTAAGAGGACCTGACCTGAGTCCTTGGCTCCCGACTTTCCCCAAAGGGAGAAGAGACATCAGAGAGCTGGTCAAGCTGTGGATGAGCCACGGGTCAGGAACCCACAGCCGTGGGGCCCAGGATTCCACCAACAAGCTAAACCTAGAAGAGGCTTCACACTCAGGTGAGGCCACAGGTCCAGTCAGCACTTCCCGGGTGGCCTTGTGTGAGTCTGAGCAGAAGACTCAGCTAAGCCATGACTACACCCGTGGAAATTTTGAGATAATATATGTACAAGATGTTACATTTGTGATAGTTTGTTACATGGCAAACAACCTGCAAGCACAGAACCTAACATAGCTGGCTCTAGTTTTAATGGGCCAATTAAAAAGCCCATGTGACTTTCTCACCGTGAAGCCCCGGCCTGCCTGAAATTCATAGTTCTCCTGTCTCTGCCTGTTGGAGCTGGTCCTGCAGGTATGTGCCTCCAAGCCAGGCACTCCATGTGATTTGACTTGCTCTGGGTGGGATTTATGCTGCTTGGCTGAATGACCTTTGTCACTCTGGAGGCTGTACTACTTTCACTTTAGTGTTTGAAAACAGTCCAGGAGAGGTCTGCTGTCAGACTGTCCAAATGAGGCCATTAAACAGTGCACGGGAAGGCGTGGAGGCCGACGGGAAGGGTGGGGAGCAGCAGCACCCTGGGAGACGGCCCGGTACTCACCTGCAATACTCACTGTCCCATCTCGGCTCGCAGGTACTGGGTGTAGTCTAAAACTTTTTTTAGTTGTGCAGAGTTTAATCTTTCTGAACACATAGGACACGTGCTTTCAGTGTTTAACAAGCTGTTTGAAGGAAGAAAATGCAGTTACCTTTGGGTTACTCTAATATGAAAAACAGCTATTTTCTTTCTACACTTAGTACATGTTTATTATGCAGTTTAAGAATTAGCAGTCCTGGACTGGGGATTTAGCTCAGTGGTGCTGCCGCCTGCCTTGCAAGCGCAAGTTCCCAAGTTCGATCCCCAGTACCGACCGAAAAAATAAAAATAGAATTAGCAGTCCTTGATCTGCTGTACGACTCTCTTAAAGGTAATGTTCTTAGGGGCCATAGATGTTTCTTCCAAGATGCCAATTTGGGGCTTTGGGAATCTTTAGAAATGTGAAGAAATAAGGAGAATTCAGAATAAAGGATTGGTAGAACAAGAGGTCTATTTTTGGATCAATATGTGTGACTGAGTGACAGGGTGCACACTTACATCTTAAATTCTGAGTACAGCGCAGGAAAGTCACAGTGTGGACACACTGTCCAGTCATCTTTCAACATATGTCGGCCCTGGAAGTATACATTTGAGAGTAAAATTCATCTTTATCTGTTAAACTCCATTACATAATTATACTAATGGAATTACAGTTGAAAGCCAGGCCTCTACACTGAAGAACTATGGCTATTTTAAAGGTAATGGACTGAAATGGCACTGAAAGGACTAAAGGCAGGTTTTCCTTATCAGTATTGCGTCAAAAGATACAACAAGTATTTTTAAACTTTTTTTTGTTGTTTTTGAGACAGGGTCTCACTATGTAGTTGAGACTGACCTGGAACTCACTATGTAGTCCAGGCTGGTCTCGAACTCACAGTGATCCTCCTGCCTCAGCCTCCTGAGTGCTGGGATTACAGGCGTGCGCCATCATGCCTGGCTTGATTTTTTTACATTATTACTTGGTGTTATTTTAAAACAGGACTTATATTACCCCAGTGATTAACAATATTTGGTATTTTCATGTTTTCTGATAGCAGGTCTTAAGAAAAACAAGAAAATGCCACTGATGAGATTCCAGGTGTTGTCCTAAGGCTTTGCAGATGTTAGCTCATCAGTCTGGTTGATCTCAGTAGGAAGGTGGTGTTACAGATGCCATAAAAACAAATTGCACTGTGGTGACATAGCCAACAGGTGGCAGGAAGGAAGATGTGAATCCCAGGCCTGCTCTCCTGCTGCAGGGAGATTATTAAATGCTCTGAAATAATTTTCAGCTCTGTTGGCCATGAATCACATGCTAAATGTTTTGAGAAGTTTGAGAACTAATGTTAGAAACGAAGACAGTGCTGGTGTACAAGTGTTTTAAAGAGGGAAATGATTCTAAAGAAACTTACTGTTACAATGCAGTAGGGGATGTTGTTTTTACACCCAGGACAGAGGAGTTCACACTCTGGGAGAAGAAACTGGCAGTATGGACATGGGGTCGTGGCCTCTTCTGTCTCAGATGAATCGGGTCTCCTGTGAGGAGGAATCACGTGTTGTTTAGAGCGACATGGATAACAGATTTGTACAGGACCACATAATAGTAATAGTAATAATGCCTTCTGCTAGTTGTCTTTAGAAAGCCAGGCAGCGATGAACCTTCTGCTTTGGGGCTGCAGAGGATTTGGCAACACTGGGCTGGCAGTGGGCTGGTTAAGGAGTTTCTCACACCGAGAACACTCAAGTGTATTTCCCTGTGGGGCAGACACTGCCATCTACCTCACAGCCATTCTCTCTGGCTTCCTTCCCAAGGAAACAGCAGTTGGCTTTGCAGCTAGAGGTGCCGTGTGGCAGAGTACTGGCCAGAGAGGGGAGGTGTGTCTTGGGGATGGTGCTTTCCAGAGCAAAAAGGTAAAGACCTTTTCTTCCTTGATCCCTCCACCTCCTCCCGCCTTAGGGATGTGATGTTGGCAGGTGCGGCAGCTCTTGTGCAGCCATGAGCCTCTGAAGTGAATGGCACAGCTGGGAGAGGAGTCTGTGTTAGGTGGCATCGGAACCCCTGGCTCCAGCCCCGGGCTGTGACAGTGATGCCACACATAAAAATCCTCACTTGTTCAAGACATTGCTGGGTTTTCTGCTGCTCTGTAGAATATAATCCTTTACCCCCATTCAGTTAGCAGCCTGATTTTGGAAAATACCTTTGAGAAATGTGATCAGATAAGAAATGGCTCTGCCTACCTGACCATGGCCTCGATCTTCTTTTTGTACTTGGCATCTATCTTGTTGCGGTACTCGGGCCTCATGAGCATGGCGGCAAAGCTGAAAGCGGAGTTCTTCAGGCCCGCCCGGTGGCACTCGATCACCGTAGAGGTCAGGATCGGCACAATGTCTGCAACACGAAGGGGACAGCAGGAATCACGGTGGCACCTGCCCTTGTGACTGGGCCTGACTCGTCTGCGGTTCAATGACAAGAGACCCATGCTTCTCTGGGCTTTGCTAGGATCTACTTAATGAGGAGAGGGCCCAACAAGCAAAGACCCTTCCCACACGTAGCGGTGCCTGTGCCCCCGAGTCCCACACCCCTGAGGGGTCTGAACTGGGGCACTGGGGCATTGGCCAGGACTGCTGATAAGTGGGTGAGGGGAATGGGTAATTCTGTGTCCTCATCTCTTCTGTCATCTAATTTCTTCCTTCAGGCACGACAGATACCCAGAATTACTGCCCAAAGAACACGACCTTACAAAAATTACTTGCTACAAATTGCCAAATTGCTTCCTAAAAAGTCTACGTCAGTTCCCATCCCCACTAGCACTCACATCCCACGCCTTGCCAGCATGGTCATTTTAAAGTCCGTCCTTTTTCTTTTTTTTGAAACAGGGTCCCACTGTGTAGGGCAGGTTAGCCTCGAGCTCATGGTTATCCTTCCTGCCTCAGCCTCTCGAGGGCTGAGATTACAGGTGTGCACCACCATACCTGGCAAATGTTTTCATGTAACAAAAAAAGAATACATTTAGAGAACGTGGACTATGAATTGTGACATAGAGGCCAGATATGGTCCTCTGACTCTCATATGGCCCATGAACTACAAATGCTTTTCATATTTTTAAATGGTTAAGGGAAAAAAGCATCTTTGTTTAAATTACATGAGGTTGGGCTGGGGATTTAGCGCAGTGGCACCACGCCTGCCTCAAGCACAAGGCCCTGAGTTTGATCCCCGGTACCAAAAAAAAAAAATTACATGAGATTCACATTTCCGTGTTGAAGAAGTAAAGTTCTGTTGGAGCCCAGCCCTGCTCATTCATGTATGTATTGTTCATGCAGAAATGGTGGAGTGGAGTAAGTTACAAGAGAGGCAGAGCGGCCCGTGAAGCCTAAAACATGTAATGTGTGGTCTTTCACAGAAAGGGTCTGAGGATGCCTGTCATCTGGAGAACGTGAAGCTGACACTTCTTAGGAGGAGGAGGCCTCTTTCCCGCGGTGAGGCGCTGCTCCTTGACAACAGAGAGTTACACTGGGATCTCGGCAGTGTGACTCGACTCTTTGCCTGGCACTGCTGCCCTGTAAGATGGGGAGGGTAACAACAGCACGTGTGTGCAGAAACTTGGAGAGCTTGTGACGGTTACGGTTACCCTCGGAACAGGGATTGGATGCTTGGATGCATGGCCCTTGCCTTGCATCCGGGCACTGGGTGTGGGGAGGGGCCCCTCGGTTCCAGAACTGACAAGTGGCTGTGTGCTGCCCAGAGTCCTCGTTTATGCTGGATCCCCGCTTTCTGGGAGTCTGGGAAGTTGGCTGGTGAGTGTAGATCTCATAGCGCTGCCCTTAGGCGGAGGTGTGGATGCCGTGTTCCGTTTAGACAATACTTACGGGATGGAAACTTGCTAATGTTGTTGGCTACTCGAATGAGCATGCGTGCCCCTTTCATATGGTCACCATTTCTAACGTGGATCTGAAACAAATAATTATTCTTACAGGCTCAGATCAACCCTGCATCATGCTTTCCCCACACAACTCCTTGACTGTCCCAGCACAGGGCTGTCGTCCTCAGGTCCTTGGCGCCTTTCCTGGCTCCTGCACCTGGGACTTCACCCAGGCTTCGAGGGCACTGCAGTCACTCAGGTGTGGGACTAGGGGCTCTCAGAGGTGGTGCAGCAGGCAGGGAGAAGCCCTTTTACTGTGGCTTTCCTTCCACAGTTTTAGTTAATCTGTGATCCACCACTGTCCCAAAATATTAGTATTGTGTGTTGTAAAGGTTCTGTCTTAGTTATTTTTGACCTCTCATCGGAAGAAGGGAAAGGGAAGCTTAGTCTACCTTGCCTCCCCTTCTCAATCTGGCCTCCACACTGCCCAGCTCAGCCAAGGTTCCTATCCCTGTGCTGAGAGGGCAGCCCCCGAGCCTAGTCCAGCTGTCCTGGAGCAGGGGTGGATCTCTCAGTCCTCTGAGGCAAAGACGCTTGTTGACATTTTTTCATGGAATTTTTTTCTTGCTTGACTGACAGGGCCTGATAGTTTTTTAGTACCACAGCAGTCAAGAATCTTTGAAAGCCTGGGTGCTACACAAGATATCAGGGCAGAGGGGAAGAGCTCGGGCTGCTCCCTGGTGGGAGGGGTTGAGGACATCTGTGGGGATGGAAGTTACAGGCCAGTCCTTGGGTCAGAGGAAGGAGGAGGACTCAGGAAGTGTCCACAGCTGCCAGCCATGGTCTGGGAGGGCTTCTAGGAATCCCTATTTTTTGCTGCTCATCTCCTACCAAGTAGTTTGTAACCTCCCTTGAAGGCTGCATTGTGCTGGGTCTGTGCTCCCAGAACCCTGGCACTACCATGCAAGGCTGAAGCCCTGGGAAAGAAGGGTCCTCCTGGGGCTGTGAAGGGAGAGCACACCCAGGGGCTGCCATTTGGATTCTAAATGTGGTCTAATAGGGCAACCGGTGGTCACATGTAGCTACTGAAATTTAAAAATTCAAATGATATGAAATTAAAAAGTCTTATCAGTTGTGCTAGCTGCATTCCAAGTGCTGCACAGCCAGGTTGGTGGCCGCGTACACAGAGAGCGGTTCTATCGGCAGAGTTCTCCAGGGTCGGGCTGACACGGACCATTGGGAATCTGACAAAACTGTAACTTTACCATGCTATGCTAGGTGACTTCAAGGTTAAATCAGCTCTGGATGGGCCAGAGAACCAAGTTAGCACTCATACAGAAAGAGGTACTTTGATAAACTGAAAATTTGGGAAAATACTTGTTAGATTTTGCCTGTACCTATAAAGATAGTATATATCTGAACAAAAACATATATACAAATAGCATTAATGTAAATTATACATACAAGTACTAGAGGTTTGCATAATTTGATTCTCTTAATAGGAAACTAGAATATGCAAATGGAAATAAATATAATCCTGATTTAGTAAAATGAATTTAAAAAGTACACATATGCATGTATAGAAGTATAGAAAATATATACAATAGAGCACTAACAATTGTTATATCTGGGTGATAGACTTGAAGCATGAGTTTTTTTTTTTTTTTTTTTTTGGTACCGGGGATTGAACTCGGGACCTTGCACTTTCGAGGGCGGTGGAACCACTGAGCTAAATCCCCGGCCCAGCATGAATTGCTTTTTTTTTCATTATACTTTTCTAGAGTCTCAAAATTTTCTTAATGAATATTATTTTTATATTTAGATATAAAGGAAACTATTGAAAACTGGAATTTTATAAAATCCAATAGCTTAGAGTTAATAAACAAACTCTGGATCAACAGAGAGGGTTTAAGTAAATCTTTTTTGGGCCCAGGTATCGCATCTATATACTTCAAGGTCAGAACGACATGGAAAGACACACGGCAAAGCCCGCTCCCTTCCTGTCCTGTCCGCTTGACTCTGGTGCTACACATCCCCTTGCCCTGAGCCCCTTCCCTTTAGAACACCACTTGCCGAACCCTACAGTGTGTTCTTCATTGTATTTGCAGTAAATAGCTATGCATTCTCTTCACTTTTTTTTTAGACAAAAGGCAGCATATTGTAAAGTTATTCTGTACTGTGCTTTTGTCACTTGGCACACAAACCTAGCAAACTGCTCCAGTCAGTGGCAGAGGTGCCCGGAGGGACACACCGGGCTGGTTGTGTCACAGGTCCCTCAAGGGCCTCACCTTCACGAGAATGTAACTGTGCAGAATCATGAGGTTGGTGGCCATCTCAGAGGGGATTTTGATATTCTGGGATTTCAGCTCTGCATACATGCTGAAGAGAACGTCATGTGCATTCCGATAGTTTCCTGGAAGAAAGGTGGTAAAGTGACATTACTGCCAAGGATGAAATCTGAGGTCTGTGCATGGCTTTCCTCTTACGAGAGGTTTTGCTAATTATTACCAATATTTGGGCCATCTCTTCTATGGTAACTTAGCGGTGGTTCCTGTTATAATCAGTGGTGCTCTCCGTGGCCATCCCTGTGTAGAAGACGGTGGTGTCCTAGCGGCTGCACCCTTCCTCAGGACTCCCACTTGTCCCTAGTCTACTGGTCATAAGTTCGGGTCTTTCATAGTCAGCCCCTCCTCCCCACAGCCACCACTGGGCTTTCCCCCTCTGGGCAGCAGTGTGCTCACTGACTTTCCTCCCTCCGCAGCCTTTGCAGAGCTTCAGGATTCCCCCGAACCCCAACACCAGGGCACCTCCTTGTGTGCCCCCCACCCATGTGACTCCGAGAAGAATGCCTGTTTAACATGTGCAATGCCCTGGGGTGGATTCCCAGCACCCCAAAACTGAGAAACCCACCAAAGGCAGTAAGATCAAGTGTAAATTCTGAAGCCAAAGTCTCCCATCAACCTTGGAGGGTAGAACCCTGGCCCAGTTCTCTCTGGGTCCTGAGCTTCCAGCACACATCTGACAGACAACAGGTATTACATGGACACAAGCTCAACAAAATCATGATGGGTTTAACTGCATTTCCAAAACTGTGATATTAATACACACCAAAGAACTGACTTGTAAAAACTAAGGAAATTGTAGGCTAATTCTCTTACTCAAATATTTACAGAGCACATAAATGAAACCATTCTGCAGATTTCATAACAGCCTTGTAATAAAGAACCAGATCCACTATAATTCGGTATAATTACCTTCCACCTTCTAATGTCTCTCACATGGATCATCACATGGATCCATGAAATGGAAGGAAAATTCTATGAGCTGCAGGTAGAGGCTGTGGACTGTAAGTGGTCAGAGAAATCACTGTCCCAGAGACAGAAACTGAGGTGGTAAAGGAAGGCAGGAAATAAGTCCCCTTGGTTCATATGATACCATAATGGTGAATTATTTTGCTGCTCTGAAACCTAAAACTGGCCATCTCCTTAGCTTTTGGGTTCAAAGCAAGCCTAGATTAGACTTGATCTTAGATAAAAGGCTGAGAAGTGATGGATAAGAAACTTCTACTCTTTCTTGGGCAGAAGAAGGGCTGAGTATTGATTCTACTTCCTGTTTGAGTAGAAAAAACAATTAGGGACCTGGGGGTATAGCTCAGTGGAAGAGCCCTGGGTTCCATCACTAGAATGTACACAAACACACACACACACAATATATCAATAGTTTAAAATATAAGATAACTAAATTAAAGTATATATTAGAGACTTACCTGCAGACTGTTCTTCTCTGGCAATTATGATGGCAGTCCGGGCAGCCTCTCGGTACTGTTTCAGAGCCATATACAAGCGGAACAGGTACTTGGCATCCTGTCATACAAACCATCAGACAAACATAGCTAAGCGATCACCTGTAATTTTGCATGTTAGTTAGGATCACATATTAATGTGCCAGTAACAGAACTGATGTTGTTTTTTAAACTTGATAAAAGAATTAGCTCATCAAACATTTATTCTGTGGTTAATATGTTCCAGGTAGTATTCAAAGTACTTAAATGTTAACTCAGTTAAATCCCTAGGAGGAATGAGTAAAGTCCTTGTTTTATGGATGAGAAACAGCAGCACAACAGGACAGGGACAGTCAGGATTCAGGCCATGGTGATCTGGGTAAAGTCTTCCCTGCCACCAATCCTCAGGGTACCACTCATAAGCGTGGAAGCAGAACATGTTCTTATACAGTGTTCCAACTCTGCAGCATCCTAGCACTGGGCTGGGGATTTAGCTCAGTGATGCCGCTGCCTGCCTTGCAAGTGCAAGAATCTGAGTTCGATCCCTGGTACCAAAACAAAACAAAACAAAACACATATAAATTTTCTTTGTTCTACAAAATTTTCTTTGGCCTTTTACCATTTTCTATTCCTTTTTTTATGACTTTCAATTTACTTTTATTAGGACACATCTCCAAACAGTAGAAAGAGCTTCAGAGTTGCTATTAACAGAAATTATTGCAAAGTTATTCTTAGGTTATTATTATAGTTTGGGTCTAGAGCCCCCCCCCCGAAAAAAAACCCTCATAGGGTCACAGATGGGGCTTTTCCAGAGGTGGCTGAATGTAGAGTGAGACTGACTCATGACGCAGTGCCAGGCCCACAGGCACTAAGATTAAGGGTGTCTCAAAACAACCAGCCCCCCAAGTATAAAGACCTGATTCAAAAATGGGCATCTGTAATCAGCAGACATTTGTCAGAATAAGAAGTAAAAGCAGCAAGTAAATCTATGAAAAAATGTTCCACATCACTGGTCATTCGAGAGATGCAGATGAAAACAATGAGATTCCACCTCACCCCACAAATGGCTGCTATCAAGAAATCACACAATAACAAATGTTGGCGGGGTTGTGGGGAGAAAGGAACCCTCCTCCATTGTTGGTGGGAGTGCAGACTAGTGCAACCACTATGGAAATCAATATGGAGATACCTCAAAGAGCTGGGACTAGAGGTTCCATTTGACCCAGCCATCCC